GTGTGTGTGTGTGTGTGTGTGTGTGTGTGTGTGTGTGTGTGTGTGTGTGTGAGTGAGATGGTACCCGCAGCAGTAATGGGGAAGGTAGGCAGGGTTTGGAAAGACAGATGAGTTGTTTGGACATGTTGAATTTTACAAGTCTATGGAATAGGAACAGCTAAGTGGCGCAGTGGATAGAGCTCCGCCTTGGAGTCAGGAGGACCTGAGTTCAAATCCAGCCTCAGACACTTGACACTTACTAGCTGTGTGACCCTGAGCGAGTTACTTAACCCCACTGCCTCACCAAAAAGAAAAAAAAAGTCTATGGAATAGCCAATGTAAGATGTCTTAAATTGGAGAGATGACTCTAGAGTCAGAAGAGAGGCTAAGGCTGGATAAGTAGATTTGAGAAGTGTCAACATAAAGATGAAAGCTGAATCCATGCAAGTTGATGAGATCACCAGGTGAAATGGTCCACAAGCAGAGCACAGGCCAGAGCTCTGTGGGACACCCATGGTTAGCAAGCAGGACCTAGATGAAGCTCCAGCAACAGAGACTAAGGAGTGGTCAGAGAGGAGGAGAACCAGGGGAGAGCCGTGTCCCAAAAGCCTAGAGAGAAAAGAATATCCAGAAGAGGGTGACTGTGTCCCAGGCTGGAGCGGTCAAAGGAGTGAAGATCGAGAAAAGGCCGTTAGGTTTGTTGATTAAGAGATCATTAGTAACTTTGGAGAGAGCAGTTTTGATTGAATAATGAGGTCATTATTGGGCAAGGACAGGAACAATAGAAATGTAACCAGAAAATCTACTACAAATTCATATTTAAGCAGGAGTGAAGGTCCACAATGTGACTGTAGTTCTGTTTCTCAAAGTTTTTTTGTTTTGTTTTGTTTTGTTTTGTTTTGTTTTGGTAAATCTTACAGGCTGTGAGATTGGAAAGCACATACCAGAACCGCACGAGATATATGGTGGTGGTTTCAACCAATGGCAGACAAGATACTGAAGAAAGCATTGTCCTCGGGATGGATTTCTCCTCTAATGACAGGTATGGTGCTGAGCACAGAGAAACTCCTTTTTAAATAAACTCTGCATTTTGTATTGAAGCAGACATCCTCTTGCATAATTTAATTCCATGCCTAAAACTGGGATGGGGGAAGTGTGGATCTTAGACACCAAGTCTGGAGAGAAATGAGGCAGTGAAACCCACAGTGCTTTGAAAAACAACAACAACCCCGTTTCGTCGTCTGTGCCTCACATGTCATCCTTCCCCTTCTCTTCCCCTCCCCCTGCCCTCCTTCCTCCACTTTAAGAAACAACCATTAACCAATTAGTTCACATTCCTAGGGAAAGTCAATTAGTCAATTGTCTCATCTCCATCAGTTAGAATTTAGTTTAGTTGGACCACCAAACTGCCCATCAGACCTGACTCCTCGGTGTCTCCTGAGTGTAGTATGCAGACTCTCATCAGAGGTATTCACCTGTGGTCATAAGCTGTGGTGTTTCCAAACCTTACACTCTTTGTCGTCTTCCTTTGTATTTATGAAAACTCAATCGCTGAGTCGCATCTGAATTCAGTTAAATTCAGAAAACATGTGCTAATAAGAAGCTTTTATGCCTATGCACCTTTGTTGGGCCTAAACAGGATGTTAAATCTTGTAACTGAAGCCATCACATATCACTTTGGCCTGTGCTGCTTTTTGTTGCTAAGGTTTAGTGCTTTCCTTTATTCCATTTCATTTTCTGGAGAAGCCTTCGGAGGGCTGTGGAATGTGGCTGCTAAGCAAATCTTTGCTGTCCAGATAATAAGCCTCAGGAAATCCTGCCAGGTGTCTCGGCACACAGACTTCCTGGTTTGAAACTAGAGTGGAACTCAGGGCCTGCTGGGGGTAGGACTCAGACCCCAGGAGAGCACTGTTACTCAGTGAGCTCAGCCCAGGCAGCTGAAAACGAACATCCCACCATTTCCCCAAAAAGCATTGATTTGTGAACTTTTCATTCCCGAGTTGGTTCTGGAGATTCCCAGTTATCCACAGCAGCAGTGGCATCAGTTTGGAAGTTGTTGGGGTGGGGTGTCACCAGAAACACACAGCTGTGACTCTTCCCTTCTTTATCATGCATTACCATGTATTACCTTTCATTGTATGCTGGGATATTATACAGGGATTTTTAACCACCTATGGGAAGCTTTCTCCCGTTCAGATTTAAGAAGGGAGAAGCATTTTCACCTTTTGTGTGGCATGGGCAACATCAGCCAGTATTTTTCCTGTCAGCCTCAACCTTTCATACAAGCCTAGAACTTTGTGATGAGGGTTTCACAGCCCTATTCAACGGTCCAGCTCTTCTCCCTTTGTTTAGATTCCCCACCCCAACCTGGGAAGCCCTCTGGAAAGACTGTCACTACAAAGCTAAAACCAGCTTCTTTCCTAAGCTGGTCAGCAGTTTCCTGTCACCAAAGTCAGATGGGGTCAGTGGTGCCAGCTCCTTCTGGCCAGAGAGAGAAAACAATCCAGGGTCAAACCTGATCTCTGTGACGTTGTCCTGCGCTTCAGTGCCACTCATAAGGAGGGTTCGCCAACATGTGCTCCTAAGAATGTATCCTTAGCACCCTGAGGCACTTCTTTCCTCTGGCCTTAATGGCATTGCCAGAACCATACCTAAGAGCTGCCATTAACCAGTGGTAACTTCTTTGTTCTGTGGGAGCAGACAGGACATGAGAAGAAGCACAGTTAGCTAAAGGAGCTGGGAACTCCTGTGTTTTCTGTCCTTCTTGTGACTCAGACACACCTAGGTGTGCTCCCCAGGCACCACACTCCCAAAGTCCTCGCCACCAGAGGAACAGGACTAGGGCTATGGGTCAGCCCAGCTCCCTTTTCATCTGAACTCCTGGTGAAAGAACTCACATCATTGTGACTATATACCATTATATGAAAGCTTGAAGCTTTAAGATACTGTTAAGCTGAAGTTAGAAGGCTGGTCATCTAGGCCAGTGGTGTCAAACTCAAATAGAAACAGATCTTGGCATATTGACTTGGAAAACCACAACCGTTTCTGTGTGGATTGGATTTTTATTGATTTTGTAAAACATTTCCCAATTACATTTGAATCTGGTTCAAGCTGCATGCAGTTTGACCCCTCCCATCTAGGATATGGCATCCCCAAGAAACTCTTTAGGATTGCTTCAGCAAATTAATTTCACCTACATATGAGTTAATTGAGAGTTACATTGAATTTTAACCACTTAAAATTATTTGAAAATGAAATATAATCTTAGTTTCCAAATGGCACTGCTCCAAATAGGACTTCAGGGGGACAAACCTGTAGAGTTTTAGGATTGTTCAATTGCCTTCTTGTTAATTAGGAAACATACTTACGAAAACAAAGACCTGAGCCTCACGAGGAAAGCCCTCCAGGTAGACTAGATTTGCCCATCCCCAGCATATTTTAAGCCAAGCTTCAGTTTCTTAGGTGCCTCCTTCCCAGCATAAGAAGCTCCCTCACCTAAACTAAATTCTACAAACTGTGAATTTGCTCTGATGTGTTCATAGATCTCTCTTTCCCTCTCATGTCCCTCTGTCACACTCGGGCTCTAAGCCTCTGCATCTTCTGCCATGGCACCTTAAGTTCTGGGGACCCTTAGTACTTATAGCACAAGTTATTTGTGTTCCTAGGGACCCTGCTAAGTACTCACTAAAAAGACACACTAAAAATAATCCCCCTCTACCTTGGGAAGCCATTTTTAAAACACATTTTCATGAACTCATCCCATTTGGGCAAGAGAAATAGTGATGAGGCTATTTTTCTCCTGTAGGCTGGCATGGTAGCCATGCCTCTGTGTATCAGATTCTAATGTGAGTAAGTTATTCCAATCTTGATTTGAATCTCATGAGCTCTGGAATCACTGGTGGTGGTGTTGAGTAACACCTGGGGCAGTGAGTGCAAGGAAAAACATTAGATCAAGCGCAGGCAGCCAGACCTTCATGAGCTGCACAGCAGAGGGTACAGGTGTAAGGTTCCTCACTTTGGTTCCCTTCTGTTTTTGAAGCAGGCTCATCTCTGTCTCTCTGTCTCTCTCTGTCTCTCTCTGTCTCTCTCTCACACACACACACACACACACACACACACACACACACACACACACACACACAACACACCTCTTTTACCTTTGTTTAGGACTTTTAATTTATTAAAGAATAAGTCCCCATCTCTTTTAGATAGATTATCTCTAAGCACCCACAGCAGGGCACAGAATTCTTCTTAAACCAGAGGGTATAGAGCAGTTATGGAGAGACTAGCCCACCACAGACAAGAGTTTTGGATCTCAACTCCCAAAGGCCTAGGGTCAAACACAGTGGCACCATATTTGGTGGCTCACCCCTGTCTGGAGAACTTGAGTGGTTAATTATCCAAGCACAGGCTGGGAGTTAGGATCTTTTAGATGTTAGCCCCAGCCTGTTCATTAAGGCAGTATTAGGTCCCTGAGGCCAGTTGCTTAATCTGTGTCTATAAAATAGAGATGATGATACCTTACTGGAAGGTTGCCCAGATTCATTAGCTTTTAGACACCATACATGGACTTTATCTTTCATTGCTGAAATTCTTACCAAGTTTCAGTAATGGTGGCAACTTCGTGGCTTCTCACTATCCACGCTTGGTTTCCCAAATGTTCTAAAGTTGTTTTCTGTGTGTATATTTTGATTCTCCGCCCTCATCCCTAGTAACCCTTTCTCTCCTTTACTTGTGTATTCCCTTTCACCGCCATGCTCGGTATATTTCCTGGTATTAGAAATCGCAGGTTCAAAGGCTTATGGTAAACACAAATGAAGACAACCCTCAGAGTTGACTGGGAAATGTGTAACCTAATAGTTTCTCTTCCTTGTTGGATGAATTTTTCAAAATCAACTGTGCTTTGAAATAGCAGGAAATGACTGGGTCTCTTGTTCCCACAGTAGCACTTGTACCATGGGTCTGGTCCTGCCTCTCTGGAGTGACACCCTTATTCATTTAGATGGCGATGGGTAAGAGCTTCTCCTTTTCATTATGCCCATGGGTGGGGTTCCATCTTACTGCACATTCATTCAGCTGAATGGGAGGCCCACTGTACTGTCAGACCAAAAGCTCAATGAGCCGTTTTAAAACATGCTTTGTAAAAGAGTGGAAAAAAATACATAACTTTCCAGTTTCTCCAATTCCTGGGCTTCTAGGCCAGAGGTTAAGCATTATATCTGTGTAGTCCTTATAAGTCTCAAAGCAAGAAAAAGCCACTCAAATGACCAGAAGTTAAATAAGAGCTTGAGTGCTTTGCAGTGGCCCAGAGGATGATGCATCCCATTTCAAGCAAGTGTGTTGCTTCTCTGCCAGTTGTCGCCCTACTGTGTAATGTTCTTCCTGTGCCAGTCACAATACACTCAACAGTGACCCCAGGGTTATTGGAGGCTGTCCTAATGACAGAGGCAAGAGACCAAGCTGTTTGCAGCAGCTCCCAGTGCCAGAGTTCACTTGCTGCATCTTAGAGGTCTTCCAAATTGTAATGCACACCAGGACAGTCTGTCCACCCCTCCAGCTGGAAATGTCTGTTGATTGAACACCCTGGCCTGACTTGACTATGAGATTCCAGTTGTTTTTCATAACATATAAAAACCAGCCACAATCATTCCTGTGATAAACTTTTTGCTCCAGTGCTAGACTGTGGTGGGTTTCCATGCAAGTGCTGGCATCCCTTCTGCCACACCAGCTGTGCCAGGGTGGGAAAGAGCCTTTTGGAAAAAGGTGGAAAACACCACGGCAGTAACCCCCTCTGACTGGTGGCGTTTGTTTTATTCTCTTTTCTCCTTAGTGGGTTCAGCGTTTCAACAGATAACAGAGTTCACATATTCAAACCCGTGTCTGTGCAGGCAATGTGGTAAGATGTCTTTTTAAATATTTGTTCATGTGTTCTCTAGAGACAGGCTTCAAGGGAGGGGCATTTGACGTGGTGGCAGGGACCATGTAAATGCTTATCTTCCAATAATGTGTGTGATCTGCTGGTCTGACTGGTGTGCGGAATGATGAGCCACTGATCACCACTGCATCGTCAAAATCAGAGGCCCAGGTAATGGTGAAGAATGAGAGAGTGGTCATCCTAGATGCATAGGCTTACCAGGTGGGAAGAAAGTTCATTTTCCACATGAGCAACTGAAGCCCAAAGAGGCTGTGACTTCCCCAGGGTAGCACAGTGACTCAGACACAGGGCCATGTGGACCCAGGTCTCCCAACCTCCTGGTCCACTGCTCTTGCCATAGTACCATTCCTGCTAGTCAGTCAGCCTTTGGGTTTCAGAGCGGTGAGAAAAGATCTGGCAGTGCATTTTTCTGAAGTATGTATCATAGACAAGATAGGCCCTTTGAGCACCCATTTACTTCACCTTTGCCTGAGAGGCAGCTGGTGGTACAGTGGGTAGAGTGCCAGGCCTGGAGTCAGGAAGATCTGAGTTGAGATCTGGCCTCAGGCATTTACTGGCTATGTGACCCTGGACAAGTCACTTCACCTCTGATTATCTCCAATTCCCCAGCTGTAAAATGAGGATAGTTAACTGCCTTCTAGGGTAGTTGTGGAGATTAAATGAGTTAATATTTGTTTTAAAAAAAAAAGCAAACACTTGGCACAGTACCTGGCACAAAGTAGGCACCAAATGCTTATTCCCTTCCCTTTCCCTTCTAAATTATAAGTATTTACTGACATAAGCAAGTCTAGATTTGTACAATTGAAAACTTTGTAATTGTTGAAAATTAGACCATCCCTGGCTAGTATGCTGAAGGAACTCCTTTCTTGTTGTTCCATGTTTTCGAAAAAAATAAGAGTGGTGGCTTGGTTGTGTAAGCCTCAGGAGTTAATGCCAGAGTGGAAGGACATGCCTTTCACTTCCTGTCCAGGGCCCTGCCTGCCCTCTGGTGGAAGCACTGATGACCAAGGGGCTGGGGGAAGGCGAGCCAAAGCCAGAAATAAGAGCCTCAAAAAGAGACCCGGGAGAGATAATCTACCCCGGATGCCCCAGTTGGCTGTTATCAGATGAGGAGGGGAAAGGGCTGATCTGAACCATTCACAGTCTTATCACTTCATGCAGTAATTGAGGCACAGGACACAGTTTCAGGGCCTGTGTTCGTAGCTGATTCTCCAGTTCAAAGGGATTCATGAGGATACGTCTCCCGGAGTACACATGACCTGCTCTGACCAGTGCTGGTGGTGCTCGATCCGCCCTTGGGCACCGAACTGTGCTGGGAGAAATCCCCAGCCCAATTGTTGGAGTGCACAAAGCTGTGTTCTTTTTCAAGACCCCGTGGATTCAATTAGCAGCCGTGGGTCAGGCTTTGATGTCCTGGAGTAGACTGACTGACCCGAGCCCTTTTGGCTTTTTGGAGAGAGGCCTTTCTTGGTTTGCTTCATAAACTGATTTCCAAATCAAAGTGTCATGTTCACCACGTGTTCCCCTAAGGGGAAGGTAGCTCTCACAGCTTCTCAGAAGTCAGGTCCATCTCAGCTGATGTGTCCTGAAAGTAGCCAGCACCTGGAGGGGCCTCAGAGGAGATGTTGTACCAGAGCTGGTGGTTTAGGTTTTAAGGTACATGCGCTGAGATTCAAGAAACGTGCCTCACAGAACCTGCAATTATCCTGTTACAGTGAGCAAGAACTCAGTAGGGAGTCAGGGCAACTGACATGGCTTTACTGAAACTCTCTGATACTTGAGCTTTGCCTTTTATAACTAAAATGGGCCTCCTAGCTCAGTTTGTATGTGAAAATCTGCTTCCCCTCTGAGAATGGATTGGCCACAGAAGTCTGAAAGACAGTTCTTGGTATTGTGGTATTATGCTCCCCTCTTGGGAGAGAGACACGGCTGTCTGACCAGGAAGGGACTGCTGAGCTGCAGAGTCCCAGGGCCAGTTTGCTAACTGACTGGAGTGTTCCTCTCTCTGTCAGACTTGACTTTCTGGGTCCTGAGTGGGCAAGTTTCATGGCTGTTCAGAAGAATCAGAGCTGTTCTTCGGAAGTAGCTCTAACACATGTAGGTAGAAGGTAGTGACCATGGGAACCCTCTTGCAGGCCAATGCTTCCTGGTAGTGCCCAGGGTAATCCTCATGACTCGAAGCCTTGGGTGGGAGCCCTTTGGGACATAACATGTCAGTATCCCAGGAATCAAGGGGACACTATTTTGGAGCAAGATTCTGAGTCAGTGGAAAATATCCATTGCCCCCTAGTCATTAAATCATCAAGTATCTTTAGTTCAGTGATGGCACAGATGTGAAATTAGACCCTACTAAGATACCAAATGCCTTGTGGGTACTCAGGCTAGATTCATCAAGGATGAGTAATGCATCAGTCCCACAAGAAAAATAAAACTGAAAAGATATGGGGTTGGGGTAGCAAAATTCTTAATGGAGGCTGTAGAGTCAGAATCCAGAATATCCAATGAACTTCATAGTGAGATGGTGTTTTTAAGTAACGGTTTCTCCAAGGTTTAAAAATTGATCTTGAGGACAGCTAGGTGGCGCAGTGGATAGAGCACCGGCCCTGGAGTCAGGAGGACCTGAGTTCGAATGTGGCCTCAGACATATAACACTCACTTAGCTGTGTGACTCTGGGCAAGTCACTTAACCCCGGTTGCCTCACCCAAAAAAAAAAAAAAAAGCAGTCTTTGGCCCCAAAGACAGCGCCAGGCCTGAAGTCAGGAGGACCTGAGTTCAAATCCGGTCTCAGACCAAACACTTGACACTCGCTAGCTGTGTGACCCTGGGCAAGTCACTTAACCCCAATTGCCTAAAAATAAAAAATTAAGAAATTGATCTTGAAGGATATTGGGCAAATGATATAGAAATTATGCCTGCAAGAAATCAGAATGTTTAAACTGGGGAAGAGAAGCCTTAGGGTGAATGTGAGCTCTGTTTTTAAATATTGCTGCTGTTGTCTTGTCATATGGAAGTGGGATTAGCTTCTACTGCTTGGCTCCAGAGAGGAAAACTAAGCTCATTGAGTTGAAGTTATAGAAATACAGATGATTCGGGCTTAACATGATGTAGACCTTCCTCACACATGAGAGCTGTCTGAAAACAGAAGATGCTGCATGAGTAGGTAAGGAATTCTCTGTCACTGGAGGAGTTTAAGCGGGAAGCTGAATGAGCGCTTGTCAGGAATGATGAAGGAGGTGTTCTTCAAATAGGGGTTGCATAGACAGTCACTGCAGGCTCTTCAGTTCTAGGATTTGGTGAAATAAAGTTGACTAGATTATGGTTTGTATGAATCATCTCTTCCTCCTTCCGTCAACCTCGGGCCCATGAGTGCTCATGTTCCAATATATCTTTCAGGTCTGCATTACAAAGTTTACATAAGGCATGCGAAGTGGCCAGAAGTCATAACTATTACCCAGGCAGCCTGTTCCTAACCTGGGTGAGTTACTATGAGAGCCATATCAACTCCGACCAGTCATCAGTCAACGAATGGAACGCCATGCGAGACGTGCAGTCCCACCGGCCAGATTCACCAGCTCTTTTTACAGACGTGTGAGTTCTCTTGTTGCTGGTTAGTGACTAAATACCCAGCCGCCATCTTCTCAGCCTCCTTTGTGTCATGGACCTCTTGGGCAGTCTGCTGGAGCCTGTGCACCAACCCCTTCTCAAAATAACATATTTAAATGCATAAAATAAAATACACAGGGTTACAAATATTGAAATGCCATGATAAAAATATTTTTAAAAACCCACAAGTATCCCTGGTTAATAACCCCTATGCTCCAGAGTATCATCATAAACCAGTCAGTCTGTGCTTTAGAAAAATTGACAGTGTAAGGCAGAAGGCATTCATAATACCTATTCTGTATCTCTGTCACATAGAAAGATCCCACCTCAAGAGATTTAATGTTTTTTCCCTCCCCTGCAGTAATACTAATGAGCTGTCTTAATGTGCAGCATAGATTCTCAGCAATCTAGAAACTTACTCCATAAACTCAGTACCAAAAATTTCATTCCTTGATGTACTGCTAATGTAGAATTTGTGATTATTCAAAAAGGGATGAGGCTTAAATTTTCTTGTATGCTTATATGTGCAGTAGGAGTTGATAACAATGATTATTGAAAAATATTTGCGTTGCTTGGTTTGCACGAGATGCAGAGACACATTTACATAAAATAGCGTTATTTTCATTATAAATCATTCTCTTTGTTCTTTATTAATAGGCCCCCTAAAGATGCCTGTCCATAGCCAACCCTTAGCCTATTTTAAGTTACTAGAAGCATTTGAAAGAAAATAAATATCACTTAATTCTATAATTTAAACTTATCATTTAACTCAGACTGGCCTTTCTTCCATTAAGTGCAAATCAGAAATTGCAATTGATTGTAGGAAGAGATAGGCATGTTAAAATATCTCTCTGATGCACCCTGGCTTGGATCAAGGCCCAAGGTGGACCTAATGTTTATTTCTTTTATGGGTCAGTGTGTTGTTTTGTATTAATATTTGGGGAGCTTTTTCACGTAGTTCCTGATAAGAAAATTAATTAGGATGTTTACTTGCTCTAAACTGATCTTTGTGGGTTTGTTAAGTGCTCTATCAGTGAGGGTTAGTGGCTCTTTGGCCTTGTGGACAGGATTCACCCTTGGGTTCCTGTAATAATACCAAAAGAGCTCACCACTAAAGAAGACCTGATTAGAATAAAAACTTGTGTTTGATCTTCACAGGAAGAAAAATGGAAAACTAAGAATTCTAGAAAAGTAGTAGATGGATAAAATTACATGTAGGAGTCGTGTTCTTGGCTGATGAGTTGGGGACTAGTAAGCAGTTAAGGAGGGGAGTGTTTCTGAAAGTTACTGAAATTCTAGAGTAGTCTACGACCAGGACTTTATTCACCTAGAGCTAATAGTTGTAAACCAGGCAGTGTGCCCCTGCACAAGTACAGACTTGGAAAGACTGGGGAAGTGGGAATAGGGAGGCAGTCCTAGAACCCCATTGATAACTAGAGCCATTGCTGAGGAAATCACTTAAAAAACCAAATGGAATGTCAATAGCAAACCCAAGGATAAAATGGAAACTCTTCAGCCTCGAGTTTAAAGGCCTTCACCATGTGACTCCCACCTACCTTTCCCATCTTTTTTCCTATTAGTCTCCTTCGCATATTCTCCATTGCAGTCCTGTTTCTATACCTTTATACAGATGGTCCTCCCTGTCTTGGAATACACCCTCTCCTCACCATTATCTCTTAGAATCCCTCTCTTCCTACAAAGCACTGCTCATGTGCCTCCTTACTTATCCCCTTTCTTCCCCCACCCCAATGTCTCTCTCTCTCCTCCTTCTCCTCTCCCCCCCTTCCCACCCCGCCTATCTATCTCTTTCTCTCTCCTTCCCTCATCCCCAACACACTGAGTTATTAGTACTCTTCCCTTCTTAAAATTCCTTTGTCATTACTTCTCCATGTATAGGTTCTGTCCCATTGGTAAAGCTAGTTCATTTTGCATTTGTTTCCCCCATGCCAAACTCGAAGTCCACACTGGTTAAGTATTGTGGAGTTGAACTGAACTGGGATCTGTCCCCTTGAGCCCTCCCCTGTATGTAGCCTGTGTTTGACACCACCTTGGTGTCACAGTTCTCATTTAGGGTCTCCAAGGTTCACACCTGACTTGAGTTGCAGCTTGTATTTCCTTGCTAGTAAGAACATGTTTTGAAAACTAAAATAACTCCCATTTGTCTTCCCTAAAACCCCAAGTTAAATGGAAAAGCCTATCACTAGAGTCACATTTTAGCTACCTCCAAACCCTAAATCCTCCTGGAAAAGTGTTCTTAGGAAACAGGGGTCATGGTTGTCAGAGCTGATGTGAGCACTTCAGTCACACACACCTGAGCTTGGCTCCTCCTCAGTGAAAGCCAAGAAGCAGAAAGCAGGAAGTTACTGAGTCTGGACATCCAGCTAGCCCATTCACACCAAACCCCAAGACTTCAATAAGGGAAAGAAATGACTGGCTGGTGTGTGCTATTTTCTCCTGTTTGTCCTCATCGACTTGGTCTGGAGAAAAATCAGAGAGGGAGGTTCAGAATTTTAGTTACGAGCTACTCCGTAGAGACACCGAGACTGAGTGTCAGAGAAGGAGCCTGGATGTGAGCATCAGCCTGCAGGTTTCATGGGAAGCTTAAGAGCTGGAGCAGAAGGAAGCCCATGGTTGTGGGCTGAGAGCGTCCATCTTCAGAGATTACTAAAGCTATTTTTACAGCCAGTGATAAGGCTGTCAGCGGCAGGAGTGGGCAGCATGCCTAAGGCCTTAGTCCTTTTCCATTTCCATGTAAGGATGAACCCAGTTGATACCTTTCTTGGGTAGGTGGGGAGGAAAGACAAAACAGATCGAGCCACTGTGTCTGCATTCCTCACGTGCAACACAGTGTAAAAGAGCATCGCTGTGCTGTGGCACAGGGTGCAGTCAGATTGAGCCAGTTACCTTGTAAGCAGTTGGAGACCCACTTCCCTAGTCAGAGTTCCAAGAGTAATTTTATTTAATAGTAATAATAGTGATTTTCCCAAAGTACAGGCCTAACCCTGTCATTTCACCCGTCTTAAGAAACTCCAGTGGCTCCCTATGGCCTCCAGGAGCAAATCCAAAAGCCTCTTGACATTCAAAGTCCTTCATAACATGCCCGCTCCTACCTTTCTAGTCTTCTTAACACCTTACTCCCACCATAGGTTTTTCCATCCAGTGACACTGGCCTCCTGGCTTTTCCACAAACAAGACCCCCTTCTCTCGGCTCTAGGCATTTTCTCTGGCTGTCCCCCATTCCCAGAATGCTCTCCCTGTCTGCTTCCCTGGCTTCCTTTAAGTTCTAGCTGAAATCCCATCTCCTACAGGAAGCCTTTACCAACCTCTCTTAATTCTAGTGCCTTCCCTCTCATTTTCTGTTTATCCTGAATGTAACTTGGTTGTATATGCTTGTTTCCTTGTCTCCCCCATTAGATTGTGAGCTTCTTGAGGGCAGGGACTGTCTGTTGCCTCTTTTTTATCCCCAGTGCTTAACACGATGCATGGCACATAGTAAGCACTTAATAAATGTTTATTGACTTTTTAAGTGGGCAAGAAATGCAAAGGAAGCCCAATAATTTTGTTCAATTCTAGACTAAACTGGATTGAAAGTCTGCCATATTCTTGGGTTCAGGGCCCAATTCTGACAGATTGGCAGTGGGAGGGTGGGCAAGTCAGAGAACCTCTCAGAGCCTCTGTGTCTTCATAGGATGGAAACAGTAGGGTTTTTAGTCTCTACCTCTAAGCTTTGTGGTCAAGAAAGAGCTTTGTAAAACATGAAGGGCTGAGTGTCCATCATTCTTGCACTTATCTCAAATTCTTGTGTAAGAATCTGGAGTACATCTTAATGACCTGGTCCCTGAATTTCATTCCTAGAAAGAGAATGGATCCTAAGATCATAGATTTGGCGTTGGAGGAAACCGTAGAAATTATCTAGTCCAAATTATCTAATCTGGTTCCTCGTCGGAAGAAAATGAGGCCAGAAAGGTGAAACAGCTTTAAGGTCATGCCAGCAGTGAACCGCAAAGGCAGAATCTGAACCTAGGAGGGGTTATGGTGTTCCTAACTGGGGTGGGCACCGAGGCCTTCCCATCTTCCCCAGAACTCAACCTCCATGAGGAACACAAGACATCACACAGTGGGTCAGACTCCAGATCTGGCCACAAAAGATTTGGGGGCAAACTAAACAATGGGAGCCCATGGTCTCCTCCCGTGTGCCTTATCTCCCTTTAATTCCCCAGTGTCCAGATGGTCTTTTCTCTCTTGGCTTTTCATGCCTCTGCCCTCCCTCGCTTCTCCTCCTATCTGACCTTCTGAGTCTCCTTTGCTGCGCCTTCATCCAGCACATTCCCCAACTCTGAGGGGACGCTGAAGGCTCTGTCTTGAGCCATCTTCTTTTTTCTGTCTGTACTTGGTGAGCTCATCACCCTCGTGGTTCTATTATTATCTCCCTACAGATGACTCCCAGCTGAGTGTCTCTCTTGCACTCTCATTCCTCAACAACAAATGCCTGTGAGACATTTGGAATTGGAGATCCCCTCAGTTCTCCAATTCAGCATGTCCAAAACAGAGCTCATTCTCTTTCCTCCCAAACTCACCCTACTTCCAAACGTCCCTGTTATTCTCCAGTCTTTCTGGTTCCCAGTTTGGGTGTAATTTCATTTCTTCACTCTCACTCAACCCATGTATTAAGTCAGCTGCCAGACCTTGTTATTTCTGTCTCCACAACATGTCTCATCTACTTCGCCTTCTCTCTTTACACAGTCCCTTGTGCCACCACTCCTCCCCAGGGCAGGTCCTCCCCCAGGGGGGGCCCTCCCCCTGCCTCACCTGGACTACTGAGTTTGTTTCCTAATTAGTCTCCCTGCCTGGTCCCTGATACTATAGACATGGCATGCTTTCTGCTTCTTGGCTTTCACTGAGGAGGAGCCAAGCTCAGGTGAATGTGACTGAAGTGCTCACATTAGCTCTGACAACCATGACCCTTGTTTCCTAAGAACACTTTTCCAGGAGGATTTAGGGTTCAGAGGTAGCTAAAATGTGACTCTAGTGATAGGCAAGCAATATGATACCCAGAGTGACCTGTTGCCTCTAGGATCAAATAGCTATCTACTGAAATCCTACCTTTCCTTCAAGGCCTAACTCAGATTTACTTCCTTTGTGAAGTCTTCCCTATTTTCACCTTGCCCTTCCTGCCCCTCAAGCATATGTTTCCTCTCTCTTCTCTGGAATCCCCAGAGCACTTGGTGTGTACTTGGCTCCCTTGCCATGTTCTTCCTTGTAGTATGGTCATTTACTCAATTGCACCAAGAGCACCAAAGCATGTTTATGCTCATACCATAGATTTAGAGCTAGAAGAGACTTTGGAAGCAATTTAATCTCCTGATTTTGTGGAAGAGACAACTCGGGCCTCAAGTTAGGGCATCAACTTTCCTGATATCATACAGGTAGTAATCAGTAGGCCAAGGATTCAGACTCTGATCCAACGCTCCCTCCAGTGCACTGTGCACCCCCTTCTCCTAAATCATAAATTCAGAAAAAGAAAAATATCATTTAAAACATTGATTCCTTGAAGTGAATGAGAACATTGTGAACAGTAACAGCACTATTGTGACAATGATCAACTGTGAAAGACGTAGGTTCTCTGATCAATACAGTCATCCACAACACTTCCCAAAGACTCATGATGAAAGTGTTCTCATCTCCAGGGAGAGAAGTGATTAATTCTGAGTACAGATTGAAGCATATTTTTTCATTTTATTTTTCTTGCCCTTTTTTTGCAATATAGCTAATATGGAAATATGTTTTGCAGGACTTCACGTGTATAATGGGGTATCATATTGCTTGCCTTCTCAATGGGTGGGCAAAGGGCTGGAAGGAGGGAGAGAGAATTTGCAACTCAGAATTTTAAAATTGATGTTAAAAAATCATTCAGTTTTTGCCTCCTGCCTCTGTAATCTAGTACACTCCAGCACCTTGTCAATTTTTTAATGTTAACCAAGTTAGCCTTTGTTGATCTCCATCTAAACAATCACCATTTTGTTTCTTTTCAGCCCGACTGAACGAGAACGCACAGAAAGGTTAATCAAGACCAAACTAAGGGAAATTATGATGCAGAAGGATTTGGAAAACATCACGTCCAAAGAGGTGAGGGACTTCAGACCCATGTGGTTCCTAGGCTCATGCCTAAAGGATAGAGTGATAACAAATGGGGGTTTGGGGTTGGGGGGTAATGGTAGTTGTGGGATGACTGATGTGGTTGAGAGTAAATAAGGGGCTATATAGCATATATTAGCACAGTGCAATACTGTGTAGATATGGAAATTTACATGTTTGGATCTCTGCCAATTCTTGGAAAGAGTTCTATAAAGTATTAATCAAAAAATGCAGACACCAAAATAAAATGTGCTGGGTATAGATTGTAAATCGGATGTCTTTAGCTCATGCTTGATTGTGGAGAAGCTAAATCCTATTCTCTCATTTTGCCGTTGACTTATTGTATTTTGCCCTGTTTGGTTCACTGCTAGCTCTGGAATGATTAGAAAGTCCTAAGAGAGAAAAACCAAGCCTCTAAGGACCCACCTCCATGAGAACAGAGGTTCTATTCTCTTGAAGCATTTCCTTAACAGACAAAGTTGGGGGAAGGAGAGTAGGAGGAGTTAAATTGATTGCTTGAAATGTAACTCCAGTTGGAATAATATGGATGTGTAGGAGGCATAAAACCCTGGTGATTGGTGCTGTCCTGGGGGTCGTGCCCCATCTCATGTGCCCCTAACCAAAGGAAGAAGGACTGGTAGTAACTTGGTGTTCATCTTTCCCTTTGCATCTTTTCCACTGTAGGACTTAGCACCAAAGCCAGTAGTCATTCATTCAACAGCCATTTATTATGTGGCTACTATATTCAGAGCACCACAGTATTGCTTATGGGAATATAAAAGCAAACTGTGGGATGGCCTCTGCTTTTATGGAGCTCATAGTCTAGTGGGCATGTACCAGTGGCATGTCCAATCGGCCTATATAAACATGATCTAGTAAGCATATGCAAATAACCATTATGCAAATATTGTGTAAACATTAATTGTAGCAGTGTAAAAGTTAACAAGTTGAAAGAGAAGATAGAGTGATATATAAGTAGTTAATTAGTTTTGAGCTACAATTTTAATTAAAAATATAAGAATCTATGAATCCTATTCTCCTCTTAGATACGCACAGAGTTAGAAATGCAGATGGCATGCAACCTTCGGGAGTTCAAAGAGTTCATAGATAATGAGATGATCGTGATCCTTGGACAGATGGACAGCCCCACCCAAATCTTTGAGCACGTGTTTCTGGTAAGTGCTGTTACCACATCCCTGGTGCTTGCAGGACTCTAGCCCCATACAAGTCTCAGGCAGCAGGTTCAAGGAGGTAGGTTCTCCTGCATCTCTTTTCCACATCCTGGACATGCCTGGGGCTGGACACATGTGCATGGGAATCTCCCTGGAAGGTGAAGGTTGATGTGCTCTTCAAATCCCAGAAACCATGATGCGATGCCTGAGCTCCTGGTGATGTGGGACCACATTATAGTCACCATTTAGACAAGCTGGGTATGTGCCCCAGCACATTTCTTTTCCCATATGTTAACTATCTTTCACTGTGTTATCCATGGCAGAAGGAACCATGTGATGGAAATCCATAGACAACCCAAAAAAATTATTTTAGATTTTACATCCTGCCACAAAATCTATTAGAAATGCTGACAAAGACCCAAATGGGCTGGTTTGAATTTTATTTCTTTTACAAGCATTGAAATGACTAAGAAATGAAGAATGATAAGATCATAGCTCTAAAATTGGAAGAGACCACAGGGGACATCTGTTCTAATGGCCTCATTTTACAAATGGGGAAACTGAGGCCCAGAGACCTCATAGTGACCACCTATGGCCACATCAGGAGGACTGTGAATTTGTGTCCTCTGACTCCACAGAGCTGGGGAGGAGGGCAGTAGAAGCGAAGAGAGAGGGAAGAAGGATAGGACTTACATATTATCCCCACCATAAATAATTCCAGGGTGGTCCCATTCAGACTTGACGACATGGTACCCTGGGTTATGAGGCTGAGTCTCCTCTGAAGAGTGCATGTCTGCCCCATGGAGTGAGTTGCTGCTTTATGCAGCCCTGGAACACTTCTGAAAAAGGAGTGCCTTGGAGAAGTGTGGGGGAGGGAGGTCCTCCACTCCTCCCTTTAATGTTGTCCAATGTTTGTTGCCAACTGTGAATGCAGATCCCACTGCAAAACTTGCCATTGACCTTTCCATACATGAAGTGCCCGGCTTTGTTGGCCACTGTGCTTACTTCCCTCAGGGGATCAAATTCCCTGCTCTTTTGAAAGGCCCCATACAGTTTGGAAAGAATCCGTGTGTTCTCTCTAGAAGACTCTGAAAGGCCCTGCCCCCATCATCTGCACAGAGCCCTGCCACAGCTTCCACCCTGGATGTCCCATCTTCCAGAGAAGACCCAAGGCCAAGGACTGGAGGTCATCCCCATCCAAAGCTGGAATTGTGATGGCCTCACAGCTGACCTGGCAAAGAATGATTACCAGATACGGTCAGATCCTGCTTCGTAGCAGCTACCCAGGACCCTCCAGGGCCACCTGCCCACCCCAGTGTGGATTAGGGGACTGGAATCAAGACTTAAGAGGATGCATCTGGTGCAAAAACAAAGCTATTTCCAAGCCAGATACAAATGATGCTTAATAAGAGTCCGCATTTCTCCAGAACTGTCCAGGTTACAAAACTCTTCCCTTATGATAGCCCTGGAAGTTTTGTAGTGCAGGTTTTATATCTTTATTTTCATCAACCTCTAACTGAAATTTAGTGTTTCCCTCAATTACGAGTGTTGTCAGCAGACCTTAGTAGTGTCACAAGGATGCTGCCCAAGAGGTCTGGGACACAAATAAGGGAAGAACCCTTACTCTGGGTTGAAAGGAAGTAGGACCAAAAAAAAAATTCCATGTCACATAACATTTTCCTACAGGGTGGACAACTTGGAATATTTTGAATGTACTCCTTTCTTGGGAAATAATACTGGCAAATCTTGAAGCTTAACCATTTCCAAAGCAATAGTGTGATCAGATTGCCTTGTCTTCTGTGATGGGCTCATTCATTTCTTCATCTCACAAACTTGTGTTGATCTCTGTTCCAAGCACCACAGGATGGAGTATAGTAGAAATAGCAGAGGATCTGGCTGAGAGTCTGTTTACTGTCTGCTGGTGGGCCTTGGGCAAGTCACTGGTGCCCTCTGGGTCTTAGCTTCCTTTTCTCTGGCTTAGGTAACTGCTGGACTCCTTTAGAGCTCGAAATCCTCTTACTTCTATTTCAGCTGCTTTTCCTTGCAGTTCCCTCCCTTTTGGTACTGCCACGTCATCTGTCCGAAGGGCTCTCCTTCAGAGCATCTGTGCTCCCCCAGGTTTCCCAGAAATCAACAGGGAAAAGACATCTTATTCCAGCTGCAAGATGGGGTGTTAATTTTCTTTAGGGCAACTCATCTTGTGCACAGCTGCTGTGCGGGGAACACGCCCAGCCTGGTAGAAGTGCCTCGGCAGCATCTCCCCCTTCCCCACCCCCGTTGGAAGAGTGTCCGTTTCTGTGGATTTGTGTGGAAAGGGCTTGACCGGTATGAAGAGTGAAGTTAAAGGAAATGTGCCGGTGGGTGAGATTGCGAGGAGGCCTGGTCAGCTTCTAGACAAGGTAGGCAAGGCCTCGGAAGATTGGATCCCTGAGGTGAGATACTCTCTGTGTGAAGGTCAACAGTGGCATCCTCATGGAAGGCCCCAAAGCGGCTCCTACACATCGGCACCTTCCCTGTAGAGAGGGCGAGATGGCAAATGAGCTCACAAGATCAACCCTGGAGTGGAATGTGGCCCCTTTGCCCCTTACCTGTAAACAAAGAGACACAAACCTCCCTCTGAGGGGGTAGCTACTGGGCAGCCCCAGCTCGTGCCTGGATTCCTAGTGCTTCCTGTGCGGAGAGAAGGAAAAGAGCCAAGAAAGGGCTTTTCCCAGCCAGCTCCCTTACAAGATTGCTACCTTGACCTCGTGCACGAGTTCTGAACCTGGTTCGAGGCTTGGACAGCAGCCTGGAGAAGCCCAGGAACCCCTTCTCAGAAGCAGGTGGTTGAACGCATAATGGGGTTACAAAGAAAACCAATTCTATTGAATTACAACTCACAGACAGGAAGACCCTGGTTGAGTGTGCTGTAGCAGTGGAGCTAATAACTACAGGAGTGTAAGTGTGAATGATACTTTGAGATATCTGCAGTGACAGTGATTTTATATGAACATGTCTGTGATTTCTGTTGGAGGCCAAAGTCATAGGTTCTGCTAAAACTACGGTAATTTGTTGCCTACATTTGTAATTGGAAGAAATACTACATTTCTGTTAGAGATACTAAAAATAAAAATGGCATTTTTTTTCCCATCCAAACTCCCTACTCCCCTGAAACCTTCTCCACATGTCTGTTGGTGGGGGTGAGAGGGGATGTGATAGACCCCAGGTCAAGAACTCCGGCCTTTATGGATCTCCCAGTAATGGGGTATTTAGTATGACTGGTGCTGTCCATCGGGCACTTCTTCAGGCACCAATTGGGATATCCTTCTTGGATTGGCTAGAAAGGTTGAGTTTCTGGAAAAGATGATTCCTACAGCTGATGTTTTAAGAGAGTTTTCTCATTAAGGGATTTAGGCCAGGGCATGATGAAAGGAAAGAGAGAAAAGATGGAAATTGCACATTTCAGAATTGAAAGTGTCTCAAGATTTTCTGCATGGCATGTTGTGAAGAAGATAAAAAACTCCTTGCATTGCTCTGCTGAGTGATTCAAGCCTCGCAGCAGAAGTGTGTCCACACTCATCAGGCTGGGGCCTTGGGTTTGATCTTCATGGTGTTCAGGTTGCCTTCTCCCACTGGAGCTGACCCCAAGGTAGCCCTTCACCCTGGGCACTGCAGCTCTGGCCTGGCTTCACTTAGTCATCAGCTCAGAACACGTGAATGTCTTCTTATTTTCTATACCATTGTTTTCCTAATGAACTCACAAGCCATTTCCAGTGAATTCTCTCAGGCAGCTGAGTAGTGCTGGCTTTCCCTATTATGAATTCCATCCTGCTCACTGTTCTTTTTAGGAGCTTGGTTTCTGAACCTAGTGAGGACTGGGTTGTCATATCTCCCTGCCCCCCATTTCCTGTGGCTTAGTTATTTTGCTTCCTGGTGCCCTTTGCTGTTCTTGCTTTCTTTTTAAGTTAGTTACAATTCCATTGTAAGACTAAACACACACATACACACAGCCAGCAAGACCATTGCCATCTTTCTGTGTACAAGTCAAGTGAACCCAAACCTGATAGGAAAGGTGGAGTTCCATCTCCCACTGGCCTCTTCCCAAAATGGAAACTGGAGTATGGAGTGGATGTCGTTTCCTAGCAAACCTCCCCCACCCTCACTAATCTAACTCTCTTCTAGGTTGCAACACTTCTTATTGCAGCACTTAGACCTGCATCTGTGTTTTGAAATATTTGCTGTTTCCTTTCACTTTTCCCATTAGAACTGTCCTTTCTTGTTTTCTGGAAGGATCATGGTGATTTCCCCTCTGTAGCGCATGAGATTGCGTAAGTCCAGCCAATGTCATCTACCATCTTTACCGTTAGGACTCTGGTGTTGCACTTTTGTTTCTTTTGGGGCTAACCTTACCTACTTTTATCATTTTGATTGTGCAGGGCTCAGAATGGAATGCCTCCAATTTGGAAGACCTACAGAACCGAGGGTAAGCCCCCAATCAGACACAGCCCTGTGCAAACACTGGCACCCATCTGGCTCATCCCATCTACTGCTGCTCCCAGCTCGTGCTTAGCACAGCTGTCTGTGAAGCTTAACAAAGACAAGCTACAAGCCTTTGAGGTTACAAAAGGCAAAACTACATGTGGTAGACTGAAATGATTTCAGAAAGTAAAATGCTAACTGTTTGATGTCATTTAAAATTAAATAGCACCATCAGATTCCAGCCTTATTTAGGATTATAAAAACAAATTTATTATTTAAATAGTAAGTTTTCTTAATGACCAATAGATAAACATCTGAAATAGGGCACATACACCTACCCTGTGTTGAGACATGTCATTCTAAGTAGTAAGGAGATTTGCGTTTTACCCCAAAAAAAAAACAAAACAAAAGAAAACAAAACAAAAAACTCAGACCAGATTAAGTAGACAAGAAGCAAATGGCTAACCATCTTCTCTTATTATTTTCTTGGCTGATGCCTACTGGGCATTAGTGGAGGAATTGCCTGATTCAGGATGGGATTTGGGATCACTGACCACCAGGGTCCCTTCCAATTCTAAAATTCTCTGATTTCTCCCTGACTGTAGGAAGTTAGATCAGCTGGTTAGAGAGGAGAAAATAGTGCAGTATTCTTGAGGGCAGTCCTCCTAGACAGGGATGTGAAAGCTAGCTGGCCAGTCTCTCAGTAGGCTCTATCAGTCACTGCTGTCCTCGTCATCAGGAAACCCACAAGAAAAAAATCACCACCCCCATTTTTTACCCCAAGGAAAGATTTCCTTAGATCTCAGGTGCACTGAGAGTTACTACAGAACCATCCCACCAAGCAAAGGAATGTCAGGAAAATACCTGACTGAGCAATTTGAAATTGTGAGAAAAGAGAAGTTTTGAAGGATTTGGTATAGATGACTAAGAGATCTTGCAGTAATGATAAGAGCTCAGTTCTGTGGCTTGCCTAGTGACAGATGGAAAGAAAATGGAGGCAGCTGAGAAACTGGGAGGCACTGGGACACCAAACACTCCATGACCTTGAGCAGGTCTCTAGCCTCAGTTTCTTTCTTTAGAAGAGAGGACTAGGTTATCTCTAAATTCCTTCTTGATCCTATAAACACTTATCTATAGATCAGTCAGCTGATAAGCATTTTTTATGTAGTGCCTGCTATGTCATCAACGCTAAATTTGCAAAAATGAGACAGCCTCTCTCAGCTCTCCCAGAGCTGACATCTCATCGACAGAAACAACACGGATGTAGTCTGAGTGTCCCGAGGCAGGGAGGGTAGGAGCTTTTGGGAGGAATCAGGTCCTTCACCCTCTAAGGGAGAAATTCTAAATGGAAGGTTTTCTTTTTGTAACAGATGAAAATAATAGAGAGCCTTCTTAACTTCCTGTCCATTTTAAAACTCTTTCCGGCTTCTCCCAGACCCTTAATCAGTCCTAAAACATTAGTACTGATGGCCTGAAAAGAGGAGTTGAGGTCATCAAAGCTAGGGACAATTTTAAATTAGGCAGAGTTGCCAATACCTTGGAAAATGAGAATACCATTCAAGATTACCATGACCAATCAGATGGAGTTAATCTTACCCAAACAGGATGCACTTCCGGGAGGCTCAGGGGGTACTCTAGGGGAAGAAAGAAACAAAACAAACAAAGGCTCAGAAGAGGAAAAGCCTGGCTGGGCCCCTCACAAGCTGAGTGGGAGTCAGTAACAGTGTCATTGGGGGAAAAATGGACAAGATACTTTTATGTATTAAAAACTATGACTTGCAAAGGTCAAGAAGCAGCTCTTGGGCTGCACTATCATAAGCCCATGGCAGCGTTACAGAAGGTCAGAGTCACGGTCTGAAAAGGAGGTTTGAATCTCAGCTCTGATGTTTCCTACTTCTGTGTCCTTGGGCAAATAGATCACTCACCTTTTCTGGGCCCAACGTCTCCTCTGTTTTAAAATGGCAGAGTTGGGCTGTTAGTTTTACATGCAGAAGCTGAAGCAGGGATGAGCCAGCCTTCAAGGGGTGAATAACAGGTGGTTAAAGGAGTTAGAATTATGAAGTCTAGAAAAGGGAAGGCTCAATCAAGCTCTTAAGTCTTCTCCAAGTCTGTGAAAGGTTTGGATGAGGAGGATGTGGAGCAGTTGTTTTTTGTGTGTCCATAGAGGCGTGGGGGAAAAAGGGAATGGGATCTATGAAAGCAGGAAAAAGATTGTTTGCACAGCTGGACATTAAAAAAACAAGGCAGTAAGATCCTGTAATGGATAATTGAGGTGGGTTGTGTGGTCTCCATCCCTAGGGATACTCAGAAAGGAAGTAACTAGCCCTCCACTTGGGATGGTTTTAGTCTTTCCTAAAGAACCTCCCTGAAGGCAGGAGCCCGAACCAAGTGCCTTCTTGGGTTCCTGTTCCAGCTTCTGTTCAATAAGGAGCAGTACGGTATAGTGGAGAGAACCTTGAGCTGCGATGTAATCCTGGGGCTACTACTGTGTGACCTTAGGTAACCCAGCCAACCTCTGTGGACTTGTCATCTGTTACGTAGAGGAGGATTGGAGCTGCTTGGGTTCCATGATGCTCCCAAACATGCATCTATGTTTTTGACCTCCAGAAGTGAAACCTGAGGTTTGGTGAAGCGAGCCCAACCATCAGATCTCCCTCAGGAGAAGAAAAATTCAAACCTCTGGCCTGGAAGTACTTCTCCCACGGCTTTCTTTAGAGTTGAGTTGGTGGTGGCTTTTGTAAGAGGACTTTCTTTAAAGATCTTAGGGATTTTAGTGAACTTTGAAGCTCAGTAATGTGATATGGCAGCCAAGAAAGGGACAGTGTGATCTGGGACTGTGTTGATTGAAGGATATTATCATAACAGCAGGGATGAGTAAAACTTGCTGTAGAAAACACTAAGTGTATTGTCAAGAAGGATTTTCTTCAGTTCTGTATTGCAACCACCTCTCTGCACCACATTAGGAAAACTATTAAAAAATTGCATTGTATCTAGAAAAGGGGAGCCAAGGATGGTCAAGGGAGGAGCCATTGCAAGAACTGGGGGATGCTGGAATGTTAGCTACTAATGGATGGGGGCTGTTTCTCTTCTCTCTTTATATCCCAGACATTTAGCTCAGTGCCCAGCACATGTTAGGTGCTTAATTAACATTCATTTATTGGGAATGTTTAACCTTGAAAAGACTTGGAGGAAGACATGATCATTGTCTTCAAAAATTTGAAAGATTGTCATGTAAAAGAGTCAGTCAGCAAACATTTATTAAACCCCTACTGTGTGCCAAGCACTTTGCTAAGCACTGGGCATACCAAAAAAGGTCCAAAGACGAGTCTGCCCTCAGGGAGCTTACAATCTAATGAAGTAGACAGCGAGCAAACAAATCTGTATGAACAACCAATGTATGAAAGAAAATAGGAAGTAAATAGGATGGGGTAGACAGTCAGGGGACTGAGACGGAACAGTCAGATATATAGGAGCAAAACCAGAAGAGAGAGTCGTGTCCTGAAAACCTAGAGAGGAATTGACCTTGTCAATACACCTCGGCCCTTTGGTGAGTGCTACAGGGAGGCTCAGTCTGGCTCGAGATAAGGAAAACACTCCTAATAATTTTAATAATATTTAGGACTGTCTTATGGTAGCATAGACATATGGTAGCATAAGATGTTGACTGATTTAATGGCATTTGCTCAGTGCCTACTAAGTGCCAGGAAATCGAAGACAGAAGGGAAAAGTCCCCTGCTTTCAAGGAGCTTCTTTTTGAATGGGGGAGACTCCATGGACCTGTAGAAACTGATCTAGAATGTCTGCCGAATGACCACGAGCACTTTGGGGTGGGAGGGCTCTGGTGTCTGGGAGAGTTAGGAAAGATCTACCAGTTATCAGGGCAAGGGGAAGAGGGAAGGCAGGGTTCTAGAGGGGACACATTCTTCAGCTAAGGGTCAGATGGTTGACATCTGTGGTCTCTTCCAAATGTGAGATTATGTGGCAGGGGCATGGTGGGGAATGGGGACAGGGGACCTTTATTTCTAGTAATGGATCTGAGAGCTTTTGCCACGTGAAAATAAATTGAGTCGTCCAAAGCACAGATTTGGTATGATATAGTTGAATTATTGCTTTTAACTTTCTGATATCAACAAATCTATAGAACTCCAGTGTTCTTCAAGCACCATGCTAGCTGTTTGAGATCCAGCATTTAAATAAGATGGATTCCTTACCATGTAGTAGAGAGAGAACTTGAAGCAGTGACTTCACATATACATAGCTGTTCTTCATTCTTCCTGCCTTACCATGTAGGCCTTTTGACAAGTTAAGCCCAGGATTTCATTGATAGTTTCCTGGATCCACTCTGTCCTGAGTGTGAGGTATCATCCCAGGGTGGATTTCTGTTCCTTCCCAGCATTTTGTCCCAAGAATTCTCTCTTTTTTTTTAAAATAATGTAAGGAACCACTTTCTGCAAGCCCCTCAGCTTAAGGGAGTACTTGAACCCACCTAACAATTGTTGCTTTGCCACGTGAAAAACACAACATATTTAACTGAGATTGAGCTATGCCTTAGAACAGAGGAGTGGGGAGCACCTAGTTTCTAGATCTCTCTTGAAAGGGGTGGGTTTAGTTCCTCACAGGGGTCCTTTTTTGGGGGAGGGAGAGTGTCTGCTGGTCTGGTTTTATGCATGTGACTTACAGAGGCAGATTATATTAGTCGTAATTTTAATGAGAACGGCCATAAAGCAAATAAAATGGGAAACTGCTCTGTAGCCTCATGATATTTTTTCTAGTGTGCAATAAAACATAAAGCTCGTTCCCTAGAGCCTGCCCAAGGAAGGTTGCCTAACCCTCCATAAAATAAAAGTGGGGATTGGGTGCTGAATTTGGCAAGAAGGCTCTTAGGAAGCAAGTTCACCTTTTAAGCTAAATTCCCACTTCCAATATGCTCAATTCCCTTTTCAGACAAGCCTTGTTTGAATTAGGTGACTAAATCCTTTTATTGGATTCTTTCTCCTCTGGGCAGCTCTTTGTTCATTTTAATTCAGCACTGGAGAAAAGGATCACTTTTAACTAAGGAAAATGGGAGGTAGAGGATGCTTATTTCTGGATTTGGATTTGGGTTTTTGTAACCTGTCACAATAGCCACCAATCAGATCTCGCGTTGCGTTTCTCATAGGGTACGGTACATCTTGAATGTTACTCGGGAAATAGATAACTTCTTCCCAGGAGTCTTTGAGTATCATAACATCCGGGTGTATGACGAGGAAGCTACAGACCTGCTGGCCTACTGGAATGACACTTACAAATTCATCTCCAAAGCCAAGTAAGCATGACCCACAGAAGTGCATTTTCTTTTCTGTTATTTTCTCTTGCTCTCACCCACTTGAGATAGGGCTTGGGACACGTGAATGCCCTTGAGATAATCTAGAAAAAGAGGTAAGAAAATGGTTAAATGAACTGAGATTATTGCACCTCAGGAGTAACATTCATCTTCAGAAACGTGAAGGCTTTATAGGAAGCAGATGTTAGCCATCTCTGCTGTGTACAGAAATAGAGAAAATGGCCTTAAGCTGCAGCAGGAGGAACTTAGATCAGCCAGAAGGAAGAACTTTCAGGTTGTGATTCTTCAGGTGGCAGAGAGGTTCCAGAGCCTCCCTCCTCCAGGAGCTCTTTCTATCCCATTTCTAAGAGATGACTTACATACAGTCGTCTCTGGATATAAGTGTTGGATTAAACGTTCTTTGGAAATCCTTCCCCACCCTTGTTTTATTAAGATGGCATTCTAAATCAGAGGTCAGCTAACCACAGTCTGTGGGCCAATCCAGCCTACCACCCATACAAAAATACAGCCCGTGATCAAGGAAAGGCTTTTACATTTTAGAATACAACTTTATTATCCTGTGCTCTAAATGGTATGATTTTTATCCCTCAGTCTTTTTTTTATTGTTCCTTAATTTAAGTAGCTCTTATATATACACAGTATATCTTTTATGCCTATAGATTTACTTTCATTTTCTTTAATACTATATAATAATAATAAAGTATAAATAATAATCCATTTTCTTTAATCATAGAACTTATATTGGAAAGGGCCTTAAAAAGCAGTCTTGTGCATGCCCTAGCCATCCCAACCTGATCCATCTCTTCAGGCAAGATCATATTCGAATCATCCCTGGGAAATGGGAATCTTTTACTTTTAAAGCTCTCCAGCAGGGAGTCTGTGACTTCTCAATACCTCCATGTTCAGGACATCTATTTTTTAGCTACCCTGAATCCTTTTTACTCTAAGTTAGCCCTCTCTAAGAAGCTGACCCAGACAGGGGCCCCACTCGACTTCCTTGGGGATCAGAGTGTTTGGAAATGTATCCCAAAAGAGTATCACCCCTCTCAGTCTTGACACTCCTCTTTTTGTTATTTACCCTCTAAACCCTGACCCACAGATCAGAGGCCCTAAACCTGATGGACATTCTCTAGCTTCAGAGACCTACCATGTCTACATTTGTTGAATTTCTAGTTCAGACCTTGCACTCAGCCAGTCAAGATGCTTTCTGACCGAGGGCTAGAGCTGGATGGGGACGATCAGGTGCTTCCCAGTGTCACTGGGGAGCTAGGACTGGTGCATGGTACAAATGAGAGCAGGCGTTCATCAGAGAGGTGCCAGCTCCTGTGGTGATCACGGCGTTGATTAGGTGAGGGCTTCATACCGCCTCTCATCAGAGGCTCCAAGTCTCCCAGCCAACATTCTCTGAATTCCTAGAACATTTACTTACCTAGAACACTCTCTTATTTTAGCACATAATTAAAGAACTGCTTTGTAGTATTGTTTCAGTATTTTATGTGTGTGCCTATAGACTCCCTAACTAGACTATAAGCTCCAGATAGATGTCCATTCTTACTGAATGAGTGACTCCTTGTACAGAAGTCTGACACCACACGCACACACACGCACGCGCGCGCACACACAAACACACACGCACACACACATGCAGCATTTTTTGAGTTGGTAGAATAGCTCTGTGGCTCAGCGTATGTCCAGTGAAACAAAGTTATGTAGGTCACAATTCATTTTTAAGTCCTTAAAATGCCACTTCTTCCTGAACAGATGATAGAATTGAACATAGTAAATGTTACTCACGCACCCATAAGTTATAATGGCCCAAATGAAGGACGTCTCAGTCCAGACCATTCTGCCGTGGCATCATCACGGGGTTCTGATTTTGGTTTTTTTTCTCCTCCCCAGCACTAGATGGATGGGTCACAGCATTGTGAAGTGATGTTTAAGAACATGTTTGGATGAGAGAGAGGGATTAGTTTTATGTGACTCATGTTTTCCTCCCAAGGACAAAACACCTGCTGGAACTTACCAAGAGGCTGTTCAGGACATTTCTAGGTGCAGTGAATCACTGTGGTTCTCAAGACAGTGATTAGCAGAGGTTAAAAAATATCTCTGAGGCCGTTGGGGGTATTGACCTACACCACACCCAAATGAAGCCAGCTTCTACATAGAAATTCCCTTCTGGTAGTTGTCAGGTTTCACCAATCTTACCACGAGGGGTTTCCCCAGGACTGTTGGCCCTGACCCCCGATGTGATCGGAGAGATATGTGAGTGTACATAGAAGTATTTGCATGAAAGGGACAACAGAGGTTGGGGATGCAACTTTTAAAATATATTCTCCCATCTCTTTCCCCCCCAAATTCGTGACGCCAGGAAACATGGCTCTAAATGCCTCGTGCATTGCAAGATGGGGGTGAGCCGATCTGCCTCCACCGTGATTGCTTATGCTATGAAGGAATACGGCTGGAACTTGGACCGTGCCTATGACTACGTGAAGGAAAGGCGTACCGTCACCAAGCCTAACCCCAGCTTCATGAGGCAGCTGGAGGAGTACCAAGGGATCCTGCTGGCCAGGTGAGTCTTAAGCCACTTTGGAATGGAGATAGCCCCCAGCTTACCAAGGAGAACATAGCCAGGGGCGCTGCCTGTGTTTTTGGTTTGGTCCAAACCTGTAGAAACTCCCTCACCTGGTGCAGCTCGGAAGCTTTGTTAGGTGCTAGGGCCTTGTGATGTCCAGTGAGTGGCCCATGACCCATCAGCCAGTCAGTCAGCCAATACTGCAGTGCTTTCTCTGAGTTCCACATCGTGCTCACACGGTCAGCATCTCTCTTGTGTAGGACCTAATCTAGGTCTTCCTGACTACTTGTGTGGCTGGTCCGTACAGCACATTGCCTCTCCTTATGCACATAGTAGTTGCTTAAGAAATATTTGTTGAATTGAATGTAATTAGCTTAATCAGAACATCATGAGTTCATCTTTGAGTTGAAGTCGGAAAGTTCTTTCAGGAGAACCAGCTGTTTCTGACCATCATTTGGCAGCTAGTTACAAAACTTGAAGCAGAAAATTTGTTCAGTAATGAACTGCCCTTGCCTTGATAGTCCCAATCCCCTTTATGGTGACATTCATCTCCTGCAATTCTCCCCAAAAAGATTTTGTGGTTATACTGGAGGGGAGAAATGGTCGACTAAGATCCTGGATGCTGGCATCCTCTGATTTGCTGGGTTTGTTCGGACTCTCCACTTAGGCATGGCCCTAGGTTGTTATTGGATGGTGTAAACAGAACTGACTAAAAGCACTTGGGCCTGGAGCCAGGTTTTCACTCCACTGAGTCTCATGACCTGAAGTGTCTTCTCCAGATTCTAGGCAGTGTTTCCCCTGAGAAAAATAACTTAAACAGCTTTTTCAGACTTTCCCGGGCAGAGGGACCACCCTCTCACCCCCTACAGCATTGTGAAAATAAGGCCGCAGCATAGCATCATGGTTTCCACCAAAAAAGAGTCTTTCGTATTTACTCAGTATTTGGCACGACTTCATCTGAGCTGTTCCATCAGGAGACTGGGAGGATACCCCGGCCTCCTCCGCTCCAAGTGAGCGTGCGGGGTTTGGGGCAGCTTGCTGACGTTTTAAATTTAGCTTGGAAAGCAGTTCTCAGAAGTCCTTTCTTTAAGTATCTGAAGGTTTAGGAAGAGACCTAAACATTCTGTATTCTTAGACACCCGAAAGGATGTCTAACTGTCCTCACGTGACCCAGGGAGAGGAAGGACACTGTGTGCTGCCGGCCTCAGTGTTTGTTCTGTCATCTCAGCTACTGCAAGCATTGAGACACACATGGAGGCATTTCAGAGTTGGGGCCTCACGACGCGATAGAAGACTGCCTTACTCCCTCCCCTGTGATTCCTGGCCATCATGGGACTGGTGTATGACAGCCAGGAGGAGAGGCAGAGAGGCCCACACGCACACACTCACACCCCTGCCCCTCTGCTTCTTCTGTGCTATTCATCAGTCAATCAACAAGCATCTATTATTAAGCTTATTAGTTCGTACTTTAAAAAAACCAAACACTCCTTTTGGGCCTGCCCTGTCATTTCACTGTTACACAGGGAGGGAGCTCCCGGTAAATTGGCAGCTTCTCTACGTGGTCTGAGAGAGGCTACTGAGGGTTTTGCCGGGACCACTCAGCCAGGATGTATTGGGAGCAACGCTTGGGCGGCCCAAGTCTTCTAATGCTGATACCCGTCCTCTGTCGCAGTGTTGCCTCTCTCTCCATAGAAACTATATAAAAAATTAATACAATGAATGCAGTGTAATTTAGGGGAAGAAGTGATTAGAAAAGGTCTTGTGTAGGAAATAGTGCTTGAGCTGAGCTTTGAAGGAAACTAGAGACTCTTTTCGAGTCTTTGGAGATATCGGGAAGGGAGGTGTGTTCCAGGCAAGGGGGTGGCCCATGCAGAGAGTAGAGATTGAATGTGTCATGTGTGAGAAACAGTGAGCAGGCAAACTTGCCAGAACCAAAGACTGAGTGAATGGTAGGTCTGGACAGGTAGACTGGAGCCAGCTGGTGAAGCACTCTTCCTGCCAAACAACAGAATCTGCACTTGTTTCTAGAGGCCGCTGGATTTGATTGAGGTGGAAAGAATCCTATCACTCTGGCTGTGTGGAATCTGGATTGGAGAGGGGAGGAAATGGAAATGGGGTGACTGTGAGCAAACTCTTGGGGTCCTCCAGGTCATGGGTGAGAGGCTGGACTCGGGCAGCAGCCGTGGGAATAAAGAGAAGGATGTGGACGCAAGAGGTGTTGGGACATCAACAAGACCTGGCACCCCTCCCCCAGCCGCTGTCCCCTCGCTCCAGTGGGGATTCCACAGGCCCCTGCTTGTGGGCAGCCCATGAGCTGAAGAACCAAAATCTGGAGGCACTCTTTGGCTTCAACTTGAAGAGAGTGTAGCTAAATTTATTCATCCCCACCAGAGCAAACCAAGAGCCTACCTCCGTACCTGCCCACCCACCTGCCCGCCTGCCTGTAAGAGGACAGAATGTGGGTATAGTGAGCAGCCAAGTGGTGCCAAGGCCAACTCTATGACAAAACCTTTGTAAGTAGTAGAGGCAAGTCCTTAGAAATTCTCAAATATTTCTGGAAAATAATAGTCTCAAATAGTCTTTTGACTATTAGAAGAGGCCAGCATCCAGAAGGAGGGAGGTCATGGTCCAGCTGTCTTTTCTTGGGGAGACCACATCAAGACCACTGAGTTTAGCTTTGACACAGACAAGCTCTCTGACGCAGGTTGAGAGGAGGGAGCCCAGCATGGGGTCACCACCTTCTAGAAGTGGGAGGAATCTCGAAGCCAGCTAGTGCAATGAAAAAGTGTGTGCCCACACTATGACAAGCCCAAGTAGGCTGAGAGGCTGTGCCAGACCCTGGTCCTCTCAAATAGTTTTCACAGAAATTCCATTTGCTGCCCAGTGCCTCCACTGTCTTTTTTCATGCCTGTCCTCCAGACTCATGGGGGCTGACTCAGTGTTTTTACCAGAGCATGGTCTTGGCCCATTTGTGCCTGTGATTAGCCTGTGATGGGGATGCAGTGTCTGAGAACTGAGACCTTAGCTGGCATCCCAACCACCCCCTCATTTGACAGAAGAGGCAGTCTGGGCCCAGAGGAGAAGGGGCTTGCCCAGCAAGCTTCCAGCCAGGTCTCCGATGGTCCGTTCAGAGCTGCTGGCTCCTCCTAGGCCTACCGTCCTAACCCTTGACCAGTCAGTGCCCAAATAGTTGGCCATTTCTGCAACAGCTTCGACGACAGCCGCCACTTGAAGACTTCCAGTGAGGAAAAACTCGTTCGTTCACTCTGGAGACAGCAGCCACCACTCTGGATAATTCTGATTGTTAAGGAAGCTTTTCTGTCCATCTCTGCAATTCTTTGCAGGCGGTACTACCCTTGGGCCAAGCAGAACAAAGCCCTTCTCCATGAAGATAGCCACCACATACCCCTCAGCTTCTCTTCTCCAAGAGTCCAATCCCCAGCTTTTCAGTCCATTCGTGCAAGAAGCACTGAGTAAGTTCCTGCTGTGTGCACGATCTACAAAGTCTACCAAGACAGACACTCCTCAGGGTGTTTGTAATCTGCTAGATGACAGCAACAGCTGCCCAGATAAATAAGTCATAACTGTGGCTAGGTTGGGGCAGTCAGAGGAGGGGACACTTGAGCTGAGACCTAAAGTGAGCGAAGGATGCTGAGGGCTGCCTGGGCATAGAGCTGCAGGGACAGATGGACGGAAGGCTGCTGCAGAACAGCAAGTAGTCTACTTGGGGGGGAAGTCATGGGCACTGAGTCCGCAGAACACAGCCAGATCCCAGCGGTGAAGGGCTTTCTGAGCCAAACAGAGCTGTTGGTATCTTATCTTAGAAGCAAGAGGGGCCCCTAGAACTCCTTGAGCAAGACAGTGAGTGACATGGCCAGACGTGGGATTTGAGGAGCCTCTCTGTGGCAGCTGAGTGAGGGTAGAGTAGAGAGGACCAGGGTCTGGCACAGCCTCTCAGCCTACTTGGGCTTGTCATAGTGTGGGCACACACCTTTTCATTGCACTAGCTGGCTTCGAGATTCCTCCCACTTCTAGAAGGTGGTGACCCCATGCTGGGCTCCCTCCTCTCAACCTGCGTCAGAGAGCTTGTCTGTGTCAAAGCTAAACTCAGCGGTCTTGATGTGGTCTCCCTCCTTCTGGATGCTGGCCTCTTCTAAAGCAGCCCATGTTGGGTTAACTTGGGGGCTGCCACAGGAGTGGCAGCGTAGGAGCTTCCTGAGATCGGGAATCATCCAGCTCTTTATTTGGATTCCCTGCACTTAGCACAGTGCATGGCACAAAGTTAGGGCTTCCCAAATGCTTTTCATTCATTCATTCACCCCCTTCTCCCAGTTAACTAGCTTTGAGTCTGACACCCTCTAAAATTCCTATTTTCATGCCTAGCCACTCTTCCTCACCCAAGACTGGTGAAGCTGATCTTTTGAACCTAAGGGAAGGACTCTGCCTCTCCCTCTCCCTCTCTTCCCCCGCTTCTCTCTCCCCCCCCTCCCTCTTTCCTGTCGTACAGCTCTGTATCCAAGAAATTGAACTGAAGTGACACCAGGCAGGCTCCCTGTTGTTCCTGGACCAATTTGTGGCTGTCACTTTCCCCGGAAGATGTGTGTGACTGCCAGGGTGGAGGCCAGGGTGCTGATGGCATCTCAGAAATACTAAGAATTGTTGTATGAACAAGAGACTGCGGAAGGCAAATCTTCCTAGCAGACCCCCAAAGGAGGGAACATTTGAGAGCCATTGGTTTCTCTGATGTGCTCTCGTTTGCCTGTTTTCACAGGCGTAAGGTTTGGTTTGGGTGTGCACGTGCACACTTGCACTCTCGTGCTCCAGGGCCCGCTAAAGTCTGCTTTGTTTTACAACACCCGAGCAGGCTGCCAGCCGCCCTGTATGTTGTTCTGCATGCCAGCCAGGTACCTCGAAGATTTATGTTCTGCCGGACAGGCTCAGATGTCAGGCCACCATTTGCAAACTGGACCATGTGTTTAGTGTATCAGGTTCTAGTTTATGGCGGGGTGAGGAAAGGAAACTGCACTGTGATCAGGTTGGTTTTTTCCACGTTTCCTCCTCAGATAAGCACTGGGTAATTTTTTGAACTTCCCCTGTCACCAGGAAGGCAGGAAGCAAAGACTCATTGCCCAACCCATGAACTGGTACCTCCTCCAGCCACCTCCTCCCCTTTAGAACAGGCATACGTTTGAGAGGCAGAGCGAGGTTTGCCTGGTACATGCTCAGACATGTGTTTCCTTAAAGCTGTGTGAAACCCAGGAGCCCTTAAAGGGCACCCCCGCCCTGTTTTGGGGAGCCCAGGCTTTTGTTAAGGACTAGATTGGATTTCTGAAATATGATCATACCCACAGTGGCTTCTAGCACCTTTCTTTGAAAGAGCCTGAAGCAATTACCCTTCAGTGATGTGAGCACATCCCTACAAAGTATGGAGGGATTGGGGTTTGTTTTTAAATCCAAGTTTTACTGCTTGGGTCAGTGAAACCCTAAATGACTTTCTCCTGTGAATCTCCAGTGAATCAGTGGGTGGCCCAGTATAGGAGTAAGTGATAAAAGGAGAGAAGTCACTATTCGTTTGACAGCTGAGCTCAACCAAGGCTTAAAGTTTTTATAGCTTTTCACAGGGTCTTTGATGCCCTAGCAAGGGAAAAAACAGTAACAGTTTTGCTTTCCCTATTTACAAGAGCCTAGAGGTGAGACATATTCTCCTTTCCTTGGGGGGCCCTCCTCCCCATTCCTGAGCAGTTGGCAGCTCCCCACACATGCAACCTGACAAGGAAGGTGTGTACCCCAGCCAGGCCACACTCGCCCCACACAGTCACTGAGTGAAGGGCTTAGTAGTCCCCCACAGAGGCGGGGGGATGGTTTAGTATCTAGCCACTGCATTCAGTAAGTGGTCACTGCGTACCCTCTGCATGCACAAACCTAGAGGGGGTGAAGCTGCTTCCGAGTGAAGGTCAGATGTTAACTGAGGCAGAAAAGAGCCTGGGGCCGCTGCTCCCAAGCATCCACACTATGTTGCCCGCTTTTGGCAACTTGTTTCCTGTCACCTGCCAGATACAGGTAGGGGAGCCAGACGGAGTTAAAAATTAAACAGGTTAAAAGGTACATATGAGCAAATGTCTCACTTTCAGCAGGACCAGCGGGAAGGCTTCAGAAATTCTCGGCACATCTCTAGGTGGACACACAGAAACACACTCATACTCACAGATACACACACACACACACACACACACGCACGCACGCCCACACGCTCACTCCAGCACTGCAGGAGAGGTCAGGTCAGTGGGCTATTTGCATGGAACTTGGGAGTGTTCTTGAGGGTCACCATCACAGAATGGGAAGTGAGGTGTTCCCAGACTTGTCTCTAGACTTGGGGCTGTGCCCCCTAGAGTTGTGTAGCAGTAATAGGGTGTACAGGAGAGGAGGGCAGCCCAGCTGTGAGATCAGTTGGCTTTTCTGAAACCTCCGCTATCTGATTTATCTTGCTAATGGACCTGCAGCCTCCATTTCATCAACACAGGTCTTAACTTACCAGAAATATGCAGGAGGCTCCAAAATATGAAAAAAGAAAAATTTGGCTCCTTAAGATAATCTACACGGAATAGAGAAATTTTGAAATCATTTGTCTTAAAATGGGGGTCCCAGTGGGACCTAGGTAGCTCTGAAGGCAGTCGTTCATTTGGCGGCTGCCAGTGGAGTAGCCTGCACTCTGTAGTAGGGACCTCGAGTGGCTTCTCATTCCTGGGAACGCTGCCTAAATGATCTGACGGAACAGGAATTTGCCTGAGGAGTCTAGAGATTGCCCCACCCTAGGGTTGGGGTCAATCTTTGCTCTTCTAGAAATCTTCCCAATCAATAGGTGCTACAGAAATGAGACAGAGAGTCTAGAGAAGGAAGGAAGCAAGGTTCGAGATAAGTTACTCAAGAAACAGGACAAACCTGGGAAAAGGGGTCCTTAGCCCCGAACCCTGGCAGAAGCCCCGCCTGAGAAGCCCTGCTCCCAGCGGTCAGTATTGCCTATCAGCTCTGCCCATGTGGGTTAGGTGGCGCGTTGTCGCCGCCTAGGGGCACCTAGTGATCCTGCAGCTAAAAACTATGTCTACAGCCCCCAAGCCGCAACTTGTCCTTTGTTGGGGTCAGGCCGGCCCTCCAGTGTGGGTCAGATGCCGCTGCCCAGCCATGGGCAAGCAGGACAGGAGCCTGAGAACAGCACTGGCCACTCATAGTGCAGACACACAACTTGGCTGGAGCCCACCAGAAAGAGCCGTTCAGCTCATCCTGGGATAGTGTCTGCCTGGTGCCTCCCTTCTAAGGCATCCATCCTTTGCTCACCTGCACTTGCTGGGGTCTCGCTGTGCTCTGGCTAGAGCTGCTGGTGTTCCCCTCTCAGAGCACAGACTGCCCGAATAGAAGAGCCCGTGTCATCCTGTCTCTGCAGGAAACAGTGAAAAAGTGGCTACAGCAGCTCAGTTGAGGAGGAATCCTCGTGGCTCATCTCCACACTCCCTCTGGGCCCTAGCTGCCCATTTGTGCTTAATATGGTGCTCAGTCCTTTTCATCCAGAAGCCTCTTTGAAAAAGGCCCTTGCATGATGCGTACACTCCTCCAACTTGATAGCGTAGCTTCCCCTGTAAGCTCTCGTGACCTCCTTGTTGGCCATTGGGTTCTAAAGCCTCCCCTGCTGAGCCTCAGCATGGCCTCCTCCCCTCCTGGGGGCCTTAGCAAGCCAGTCTGTGGCTCCGCAAGGCACTGAGCTTTGATAAGACTTTGTGGGATTGTGCTTGGGGCTGGCTGTTTTCCAGCACTAACCAAAGCTGTTTCCCCGTTTGCCTCAACAGCAAACAACGGCACAATAAGCTCTGGCGGTCTCACTCAGACAGTGACCTCTCCGACCACCATGAGCCAATCTGCCAATCAGGGATGGAGCTAAACAGGAAGGAGATTACCACTTCAGCAGACCAGATCACCGAGGCCAAGACTGCGGAGAGCCACCCTCCGAAGCCCCCTGTCTTTGTGGAACACAAGCTCCCCCAAGACGTGAACACGCACGCACTGTGCACTGAAGAGAGAATGATCTGCTTAGAGTTTACGTCAAGAGAATTTCATACGGGACAAATTGAGGATGAGTTAAATCTCAATAACATTAATGGGTGTTCAGCAGGGTGTTGTCTGAGCGAATCCAAATTTCCTCTTGACAACTGCCATGCGTCTGAAGCCTTAGCCCAGCCTGAAAACTCCTTGGAGACTCCCCCACGGTTCCCGGACTTAACGGTGGAAGACCTGGAGACGGACGCACTGAAGACAGACATCAGCGTCCACTTACTCCCCATGGAAGAGCTGACGTCGCGGTTGAGAGACCTGCCCGTGTCTCCAGAGGCCGACTCACCTGGGCCCCAGCCCAGGTCCCAGGCGGAGGTGGCAGAGGTGGCTGAGGCGCCAGACTTCAGTACCGACCGCATCGATTTTTTCAGTGCCCTAGAGAAGTTTGTGGAGCTCTCCCAAGACACTCGACCACGCTCCTGCTCCCACTCCAGGAGCGAGGAAGCAGGTGGGGGGAGGAATGGCGGAGTCCGACTGTCAGTGTTGGAAACAGCCCCGTCCGACGCGACCCCCGAGGGGCAGAGAAGCAGCTCCTCGAGTAACACCCCACACATGTCAGGAGAATCTTCCATGGATGAAGACCAGCCAAAGGTAAGCCTCAGTGGTACGCCGAGGGCCTGAACGCTCTCAAGGGTCTCTTTGACCCGGGCACAGGTTGGCAGGAGCTGGGCAGAGCCCCAGAGCTGAAGGAGGCTTCCCAAGCGTGTCATTGCTCTTTGGTAGGTTCTTGTCCCTGGGCTTTCAGGCCTGTCCAAAGCTCTTCTGGACAGAGCAGGCAAGCGCAGGTGAGCAGACCCCAGAAGGAGGCCTACCTGCCTGTGCAGGTCAGGGCATGTGTCTCTGCCATCCCAACACCACATTCAGATGCTCTCCCTAAGTTAAGTTAAGAGCTTGCCCTTCAGTGAGAAAATCCTCCTCAGCTAAGAGCAGACTTGGGGTCCACGGTTATTGACGTGCATGGGAAGTGGAGGCAGTGTCTGGTGCCGCTTGCTGAAGGCCTCCTTTGGCTGAATTGGTCTCACTATCGACCCTCAGAGGGTGGGCAGGCAGTTGGCTTGGAGGAAATTTCTCAAAGAGCAACCAGGAGTCCAAGATCACTGCTCAGTGCCCTCTGGGAGCCCTGTGCAGCCAATCTGGGATCCTGAAAGGGGAACGGGAGAAGAGAGGACGTAACGGGAGGAGATGGGCAGAGATCTCACTGCACACCTTGTGGTCCTGCTGGCGTTGGGTGTCTAGCCACACCCTCCCACTTACCCAGGGCACAATGGATAGGAAACTGGACCTAGAGTCAGGAAGACCTGAGTTCAAATCCAGCATCAAACACTTACTAGTTTTGTGACCCTGGCAAAGCCACTTAACTTCTGTTTGCCTCCGTTTCCTTGGCTACAAAATGGGCATAACAGCCCTCACCTCCCAGGATTTTGTGAGCATTAAATGAGATGCTATTTGTAAAGCGCTTTGCAAACCTTCAAGCCCTATGTAAATGCTAGATATGATTTTTATTAAGTACCTTGGGGGTTTCTTCAGAGTAGAAGAGTGGGTGCCTCTACTTATGTCCAGCCAGCCCTCCATGTGCTATGTCTTTGTCCCTTTTCTTTTAAGAAGTCAGAATGTTTTAACTGATCTTTAGACCACTTGGTTCATGGCTCTTCCCATGGTCATAGTCACAGAACCACAAAGTTTCAGACTAGAAGGGCAGTTTGGTGGCCATCTGGTCCAGCCCCTACCCAGTATGACCCACTTCGGTTCTGACCAAAATATCCTTTCTGCAAAGACATCTCCTTCTGGATTCTGTCTGTGCAGGCCAGTGCAGCACCAGACTTGTGATGTGCCTTCTTGCCTCCTGCCACATTTGGTTCCACCTGACATTCCAAGCAGATGCCCCCAAAGGCCTGTCTAGCCCTCATTAGTTGATGCTCTTGGTTTCCATCTTGTGGAAGAGAAGGCCCAGGCCAGGTCTTAGGAAGATGGCTTATCCTAAAGGCTTCTCCAGCTTTTTCCCAGAGCCCTCATCATAGCAGTGTCCCTTCGGAGTCCTCTGAGCCCAGGGCCCTTCAGGTGATTCCCAGCATTTTGAAATGACCGTATCTGACTGGAGTAGGGGCTGACTGGGCATTTGCCTGTTTACTTTGGCCTTAGCCAGAGAAGCCACTTGAATCTTGACTGTGTGTATTATCAAAGTGTAGAAACTCACCAGGAAAAGCTCATGTAAAAGCAGCCACATGAAGCTTAGTGGTGATTTATTGGTCAGCGCTCCCTCCATCCCCTCTCCAGACTTGCAGGTTGGTGAGATTGGGAATGAAAAGACTCCTAAGAAGTTCAGTGGCTGAAGGACACCTCCGCCTGTCTGGATTGTCCCCAACCCTGAACTGCTGAGAGTGGAGTCCAGTCCTTGAAAAGAACTAACTGACAACTTAACTGAAGCTGGGAAAGATGGAAATGAATGTTGTCATTTGCCCAGGCTATTCACTGCCTAAGGGGGCCAGGGGTGCAGGAAGCTCAGAGGCAGTGCTGACCTTGAAGGTGGTTCTGACACACATTCTGTAGGAGCAGGCCAGGGCAGGGGATAGGGAACAGGGGGTGTCCTGCACTCTTCATTCCAGAAAAGAACGGAAAGTTTAGCAGACAGTAGGAGCCTGACCACTGTCATTTTAATGACCAGGGTATCTTCCTTGGCCCCAAAGCAAATAATTGTGGAAGCCTCACACAATTTCTTACTACATATTCACGGTTAAGTAGATTATCTTTCTAGAATCAGGAAATTGGAAAATGTACATTTTCAACCAAACTGTAAGTTACTGTAAATATCTCTTTTCTCTTTTTTTCTCTTAGGATATCTCTGAAGTGGTTAGCCCAGAGGATGTGATGCAATCCCACTCAGAAAATGCAATTTCAGTGAAAGAAATTATCACCGAAATTGAATCCATCAATCAAGGGATCGGGCAGTGTCAACAGAAGGTGGATATCCTGTCCAACCCATGCCAAACACCAAAGAGAAACACCATCCATGAACTGCCATTCTTTGAGGCAGCCTGGGCCTCCGAGAATAAGCCTGCCCACCTGGACCAGAAGGAGGGAATGTGTACAGTGCAGCCTGAACCGGCGAAGGGAGAGCAGGAGGCCGTGCTGACTGCTCCGGCCCCTCTGGAAGACTCGGAAGAAGGGGATCCAGCTGAGAAAGACTCAGAGTCGCGAGGCCCCGGTCTGGACCCAGCGCCCAAATGGTGCCCTGGGTCTGTGAGGCGGGCAACCTTGGAGTTTGAAGAACGGTTGAGACAGGAACAAGAACACCATGGGGCTGCCCCCCTCGGCACGCTGCCCACTCGCAAGAACTCCAGGAATGACTCTGCCATGCCCGACGGAACTCCAAGAGGCAAGAATGAAGAGCTCGCTCTGGAACCTGCCTCGGGGCCCAAGGAACAGGAGTTGAGCAAGGCCAAGACAAAAGACAACGTGGCAGAGGCCTTCCCTCCCCAGCCTGACCAGGTGCCTGACGCACAGTCATCTGTGCTGCTAGGATTCTACCCCAGCCCAGCTTTTCAAGAGTGTGCCCTGGCAGATGTGGGAGCAAAGCAGGGAGAAGTGTCCAAAGAGCCCCTCGCATCCACGAAAAAGCCTATTCCGGACCATCTTCCCAAAAGGTTCGAAATCATTGAGTACACTCCCATGGTGACATCCCCTGACTTAACATTTGACTTGGCTGCAGCAGAAAAGAATGGGGAACCAGTGCTGAAGACAGTCATGGTGGAGAAATCTGTCACAGTGATGTGTACCGTGGATGAAAATCTCAACACCACCCTGTGCCCAGAGCTAGCTTCTCTGCGCCCTCAAACGCTACCTCTGCTTAACCCTGCATCTCTTAAGCGTGATGGAGCTCCCCATGCTGCCTTCACTCTGGGCAGTCCTGAGGAAGAGAAGTCCAATTCTCCTTCTCCTCCAGGGACGACGGCTCCTTTTGTGAGTCACGCAGGCTGCTTACCGTCAGCCGGCTTGGATTACATGCATCCCCAAGCGGTCCTTCACCTAGAAGGGGTGACTGAGGAAAGCAGCACCACGGACAGTGAGCCGTCGTCAGAGCAGAGCTGCTGTGCCGAGCGTACCTCCGACAGTATCACAATGCTCCCCAGGGAAGCTGAGGGCGCTCTGGGCCACTGGGGCTGTGAAGACCTCAAAGTGGTTGGCCGCCTTGCTGGGAACATGGAGGAGATCCACGAGATGTTGGGCCCACATGCACCCTGTGGTCTCCCGCATAGTTCCAGTAGTGACAGCGTAAAGGACCTCAGCCAAGGTGCCAGGATGGTGAAAAAGCATTCGAAAGAAATGGAGTCCCGAGTCCTTCGGCAAGCAGGGCTTACCAGACCGTCCCAGATGAAGCGTTCAGCTTCTCTAGCGAGGCTAGGGCACCTGAATCTGCATAAAAGTGCTTTGTCTGAGGTAGAGTTGGTGTCTCCAGAAGGTCATCTGGACCTCCTCCAGCCCCTCATCAGGACAGGCCCGGGTGGGCCCACCCTGGAAGAGGCCTCAGCAAGGCTCAGACCCATTTCCCAGCACCCCGAGCCCACCACATATTTTGTAGAGCAACTGAAAATGGCGGAGTGTATGGCCCAGAGCAGGCCAGTCGAGAGGCCTCTGGTGCAGTATGCCAAAGAGTTGGGGTCAGCTCAGCAGTGTTTGCTTCCCAGTGCAGGACACAAATTGACTAGTTCTGGCAGGGGCCTTCCCTTGCCCCAGAGACAGCAGGGATTAGATTCTCCAAGCCCAAGCCCGGGGCTGACTGTAGCTGAGCTGCTGCAGCATGGGAGAACTCAGCCTCTTAGGAGACTCAAAAAGTCCAGCAGCAAAAAGCGGACACCCAGTCCCTTCTATAACACCATGTGATCCGGAGTCCAGCCAGGCCTCCTCAAGGGAAATTTATGTGTTTGTCAAAGGGGCAGGTGTAATATGTAAGGAACATGCACTTTATTGGTTAATTTTCTATGTTTCGGTCATTTTACTATTGCTGGCGCATGCAGGGTTTAGGTTTTCTGTGTGTGACGTGGACTGCGAGACCATTTTATCTTTGGGGTTTTTTTGTTTTTTGTTTTTTAAAGAAACTCAGACAACCTCAAAAAAAGAAAAAACACCTCATTTTCAAAGAACACCATCAAAAGCAAATTGCTGTTTTTCAATCAGCTACCCCTGCTTCTCATCTCTCAGCCTGAGATGTGCACACCCACAAGGCAAGGGAAAGGAAGGGAGGGGAAGGTGACCAATGAGTAGAGAGGCAGGGTGGAGGATGATGGAAATTGGCAAAGCCCAACCTAAGGGTCTTTCTAACCATGCTCTGACCCTCAGGCCTGGCCACATGGGTCATGTGGAGAGGCAGCAGAACTCACAGACTCCAGGCCCTGGGCTGGTAGATATTGTTCAATGAATGGATGGCTTTTGCTTTGACTTAAAAGGGGGCATTCACATAGAAACAGTTTCCCCCTGAGCTCTCGCTCTATGGTGTATTGCTGAAGGACATAGCTAATGACAGGATTTATTGATTTATTAGGCAGATTCTTGGGGCTCCAGAACAAAATCAGAAAAAGAACTCCCTTAGTGAAGAGGGCCTCCCAAGGTGAGCAGGTCGGGAGGCAGCCCTAGCAATCCCATCTAGTGAACCTGCCTGTCCTTTCTGTGAGATGGGTCTGCATTCCACCCCCTTCTTAATCCTTTAGGAAAAGGTTTTCCATAGAAAAGATAATGAATGACCTGTTGGAAAACAACAATGGAAAGATGAAGTGTTCTTTTAAAATGAACTGCCTGTAGGGTTTTAACCCTTTCATTACTTGAATACTGCTGTGGGCCTTGTGAGTTTAATGGCCATATGTTTCCCCACAATTTATTTTTCTTCCCCGTGCCGTGTTTCCTCCAATGCTGCCTGTGTTTTGTGGGTATTTTTTTATTATTTCATAGGAAACATTTGAATTGTTACATTACAGGTGTATAGCCTCCTTCAAATGCAAAGCTTTCTTTTCTATGTTGTCACTGTTAACACTTGACGAAAGGTATTTTTCCTTTCCTGGAAGTTTTGTCATTTTCCTAAATTGTATATACAATATTTATGTAGGTAATTTTTGTTATTTTCTTACAATTTTTTTTTTTTGGTGTGTGCGTATGTGTTTTTGGTTTTGTTTTGTTTTGCTTATAATGGAGCAAGACTGTGGTCTGTAACTGGAAAATGTCCACAAAGATGTCATCTCAGAGTAGCTCTGTGGGTGTTGGGCCCCCCCCCATGACTTGGTGATGGTGGTTTTAATTGTGTAAGACCTTGAACCAACACCAGAACTCTGCCAAATGGTATAGCATTTCTTTTCTCTCAGAGAAGCCCCCAGAGGCCTTAAGCACAGAGCCGATTTCTCTTGGGCCTGAGATTCCAGAAGGCTAAGATTGCCAGTAGTTGAACCACGGCCAGAGACAATTTTGAGACCATTACCACCCGGTGTTTGAAATCTGACTGGAGGCTGGGAGCCGAGGGCAGTGGAAGAGGGCCTCGACCAGGTGTGAGCTCACTTTAAGCCACAGCCTGGCCAGCCGTCAGGAGCTGCCTGTGGGCCTCATTAATAGGTCCCCTCACCTCCCTTCAGCAGCCTCGTGTGAACCCTTGCCTTCGCTCCTTGTAAACATCTCTCGCCCAGCAGGATAAATCCAAACTGAAGGGACACACAGATTGTCTTCCTGCCTTTTGTCTTGATTGAAATCCCCATTGTGGAAGGATTGACTGAATCCAGCCCAAGTGAAGCCTTCCAGTGGAAGTAAAACTGCTTATGGGGGCCCTGAGTTTGGCGAGAGGGTGGGAGCAGGGAGGCTCCTTGACCCTGTGGCAAAGCCATTAATCCACTTGTCTCTTGGAAGCCATGGCGGTGGCTTGAGATTACTGCCAGTGGCTAAAAAGAAGCCTCCTCCTGAGGCTGTCTTGTGGTCTGTGGGCTGGGTTGTCACTGCATTCTTCCACTTCCTTTAAATGTTCAAACAGGTGACACGCGCACAGGACTTTGTGATTCATCTCATGTGATTCCTGGATGTTTACTAGGCTGCAGAATGTTCTTTAATGGTGCCTGTCTGTGTACGGGGGCCAGGGAGGAGAGGGCTCATGTTTGCAGCACTCACACAGTGCCAGATGATTCCATGAAAACTATGCAGTCTTGTCGTTAAGGACCTACCCGCCACCAATGTGATTACAAGAAAAGAGCCAGGCAGGTAATAAGTGACGAGAAACAGAGAAACAGAAGGAGAGGGAGAGAGAAGTGTGACAGGAGGAGAGGAGCCACTTCTCATTAACCCCTTGATGTCCCAGATCCCAAGAAGCAGAAGCAATACCAACAGGATTGTCTTTTTAACTCTCCTCCCTTTATAAACACGGAGCTTCTTGCTATAGAAATACAGAAGGAAGATTCTCGAGGGGTGGGGGACACAATGCTGTGAAGCCACGCTTTGGGTGGAGGAGTAGAGGACAGGGCCTCTACCTTTGGTTTGCTGGCTGAATTGTTGTTTGTGGTTTGGTTTCCTTGTGGAGCTGAGTGTCCCAGTTTTAGGTTTCTCATTCAAACGTGCCATGCAGTTTTTCTGGAGGTCCGTCCATCCCATTAGAGAATTCTCATCTCATGACGTGATTGAGCAAGAGCCCTCCCCCAGGCTTGTTCTAGACCAACCCCATGGCGGTCCATGAATAGTTGTATGTCGAGTGGAACTTGTCACACCTTTGTCTCTTCCAAACTACAATAACCCTGTTTTACCTCGACCCATTCTCTTTCTTACTCATGGCAAATCCAGCACTGAAATTTCTGCATCTGGGCAGATTGGCAGAGCTGGATAGGAAGGTCTTTGTGGCCTCTCTGGCCCCATTCTTCCACAATGGCTTTCTCTGTTTTTGTGTGAATATCTAAAAATTAGTCAGATTCACCTTTAAAAATAATAACTGGAATCATCTCTCCTACACTGGATGACATTTATCTGTGGTATCCAGGGGGTCTCCCAAGAACTGTCCCTGAAATCTCTTGAGTTTTAGAAAGACTTATATGTGGTCTCGGCAGAGGAGAACTATGAAGATTTTGTAGTTGTTTTGTTAAACTAAAATACTACAATGTAGTAATGCTCAGTTGTGTGAGTACCCTATTAATACTGCTGCCCTTAGGATTCGGAAAGGAAACATTACTGGCATCCCAGGTGCTTCAGCCCTGCCTGAGTCTGTCTTTCTTCCCAACTGATGTCTCTTGGGTTTGTTGACATCCTGTGTGGATGCAGTTAGAGTGCGCTGAAGCTTCCTTGGGGATTTCTCTGAGAAAAGACATTTATTTCCTGGAATGTAGCAGAATTTGAGAAACCCTCACCTGCTCTATTTGGAGTTTCAGGTCCAAAGTAACACAGAGTCAGTGTTACATGAGAGAACCCACAAGGAGTAACCCACTAAGCAAAAAGAGGTTGTGTTCTGAAGGTCATTTTCTTTTTGTACAAAGCTGGTTTTCAGCTGTTTTAGGAACCTGCTGGAGGACCCTTTATTGTTTACATTGTGAATATTAAAACGTGTATTCTATCTCACTGTGCTGTTCCCTTGACCCCAAGTACCCAGCAGTGGCTGTACTGGAAGTCACAGCACGCCGAGTCCTTGCACAAAAACCACACTGCTGCCATAATGGTCAGGCCTCATGGATAAGCGTGTGAAGCCTGGAACTGATTTTTTTCCCCACTGTATCCCGCTGCACTCCAGTCCCAATGTGCTGTATAGAAAATAGTCCATCAGTCCCTCAGTGGTGGTGTGTGTTTTTAGTGATGGTTGTGATGGTGGATGGCTGGTGTCTTTTTTTTTTAATTTGGTCATTCTTTGGTGTGGTGGACAAGGTGAAATTCCTAGCTTTTTGTTTCAGCACCAATCCAGCTTAAAGGCAATTTGGGCTTTATTGTTCCTTCCAAATTGCAACTATGATCAGCCCTGCTCTCAGGCCGAGTGTAGCTAACTGGCTGTCACTTGGCAAACACAATACCCATTTGAGGGAGTTTTGGACGGCCCTGCCAGTGAAGCAGGAAGCTGCACACTTACCCCCACTTCATCCCCCCCCCTTGTCTTGGGGAGGGAGCAATTTAAAGGTGCTTTTGTATTTTCCCAGCCTGAAAGAGGAGGATTGAGTCCACCTCTGACTTTGGAAAGAGAGCCAACCTTACTTTCTCAGAGATCAAGGACAGGATGCCCAGACTGGGTCCATCTTTCAGCTGAAAGAACCCCCAAAAGGCATCTCTGCTGCCTCACCCAACTTTATGGTGATAGGAAATAGCAACTTGAGGCCTGTACATGATGAAGACCCGATGCCTGCCTTTTTCTCCACATTTCCAGGGCACCAAACAGAACTGGGCAGTGTGACCCAGAAATGGTCCCCAACCAATGTGTACCCAGAGTGATTCTGCTTTCTGTCTTTCTCATTGGCTTTTGGTTTCCTTGGCAAAGCCCATGATGGCCGGGCCTTTTCTCCTTTCTTCAGATATGACAGAATTGTAGGAATTGTTCTGAATGTGGAAATTCAGCCCCCGAAGACCCTCTTCCTCCATCATCCCCTAACCCCCCCCCCCCGCCCCATCCCCTCTGTTGTGTGTGTGTTCTTTTCAGTAAAGCAGGTGCTCCCTGCAATCTCTGGGACCTTTCCAAGTCGGTTAAAGCAGAGCATAAAAGCCACTGGCCTTGTTTCCCTCCTTGATCTCCCCTGGTGGTTGGGGCGTCCCACCTGTACCATAGACTTTTATTACCAATGTGCTCCGCTGTTTTTAAATGTGAACTTGTGCACTGATGTGCAAATTCAATGTTCTTGTTACAGATTGAATAAATTTTTATTTTGAAGATGAAACTTGTATTTGTGTAAATTGTGCAGTAGCTGTTGGCTGCATTTGAAGCAGAGCCCACTGTATCTGCCCCTGGAAGGGGGGTGGGCGGCCTGGGACAGAGGGAGAGCACTTGGAACTTGGATTCCCAACATACTTTTAATAGGAGGCTGTGGGTCAGGAGAAATATAACTGTAGTCCTTAGATCCAGAAAAAATGTTAGGTCAGGAAATGGTATCTTAAAAAAAGAAGCAAGGCATCTACACCTTTTCAGTCAGCCTCTCTGGTCAGGTGACTGACTACCTTTGACTCCCTAAGGCTGGTAACTTGCTTTGGCCAAGTCAAAGATTTGAATACACAAGCCAGAATTCCTGTTGCCAGAATACCTGTTATCTATGGGTCTAACGCACCCCAGAAGTGGCTGAACTCTAGGGTCAAGTGTAACCTCTCAGGCCAGTGGAGAGCTGTGGCCCATAAGTGCTGGACAGAAAGGAGGTATACAGAGTAAGAAATGTATGGGAGGCATACATACTCCATGTATCCATGGAGTGAATACTCACGTCTGAGTCACGATCCCATTGGGAACCTTGGTCCCGTAATATCCCACAAAGAAATACGATGTGGCTACCAGAGAAGCAAAGGCTTCCCAGCTCCCTCTGGAAGATGATGAGGCAGACAAGGGAATATGACTTCTGTGGGTGGAGCTGTGCTGGGTGGGGTGGGTGTCCTGTCCTAGAGAAAAACACATCGGCAGCATCTCTTCTCCAGCTTTCTGCCTCATGTGCTACGGAATTTTTTGCGGGTACCATTGTTCCATGTGCGAGGGAGGCACGCCCTGCTTAGAAGTGAGAGGCAACAAGATGGAATGAAAAGAAAACTGAACTGGGAGTCAGGAGAGCTGGTCTTAAATCCCTTCACTAGTTTGTGTGACCAAGGCAAACCACTTCAGTCAGCCACACTCTTATGTGCCAGGCACTGCTGGGGATGCAAATACCAATAAAAATGAAGAGTCCCTACCCTCAAAGAGTTTGCAATCTAATGGGGAGACTATCCACCAAAGAATGCCAAAAAGGTGGGGGCGTGTTTGAGTGTCAGAGAAGTCTGGTGGCTGGTGGGAAAGAGGGAGAAAAAGGTGTCAAACCCCAGAGGCCACAGCCTTGCCCTCCAGTCATAGGGGATCCTCAGAGGGGCACATGTGAGGACCAGGAAGATTTGAGCTCTAAGGAGAATGCTGAGTTTCCCAGGAGGGAAGGCACGTTGGAGATGTCCAAAAGCAACGTGGCAGGTGGGAAGTGAAGAGTCCTCTGCCCTCAGTTCCCTCTTCTGTCTGTCACAGGACAATACCACCTGAAGTGTTTAGCTGGAGAGAATGTGAGGAACAAATAACACATTGCAAATCTTAACAAAGCACATTATAAATCTCAGTTATTACTAAGTTCAAGGCAAGGACAGGTTGGTGTGGGATGATTAATTAGTTTCTAAAGAAAGTGGAAGCTAACCAGTTTTCTCTAAAACATCCCCATTGCCTAATAGAAGCTGGGCCTTGGGCAGGAAATAGGAGGTGCAGGCTGAACTGTGCCTAGATGGCCTGAGGGATGTGCCTCTGTCCTCTGGGGGTGCCTTATCATTTGGGGAGGTGGTCAAGTTGAGAAAACCCCCAGGGGTCCTCCTGAGGCCTTCTGGCCAGCTCACATGAGATCAGCCTCAGCTTTCTAGCCTAGACAAAATGACCCAGATCCCCACTGTCTGAGTGGTTTTAAACACAAGAAAGATAAATGAATGTGCCTCCCTGTTGCTGACCAGATCCAAGCTGCCTCTGCAGGCAGGAATAGAAGAGGATGGAGTCTCTGGCCAGGGTTCCTGCTCAGCCCTGATTGGCTCTGCCTGTCTTGGCTTTGCCTACCCAGTGCAGGGAGAGTCCCGCAGTGAGTATGCAGGGCTTTTGCAGCTGGATGGGTGGAGGAGCTGGATCTGGACCACTTGGCAAAGCTGGTTTGTTCCTGCCTCTTTGGGCCCAGGGACTGATTTATTTCTCTTGTGCCTGAACACTCCTGCACAAGGGTGAAGCTGGAGACAGCCCCAGACCCCCTTCCTGGGATGGAGCACCTGGCTCTTTAAATTAAAAAGAAAAAAAAAAGAATAAGGAAGCAAGCTTTATACTCCAAGGAGCACCAGTGATGTGGACAGTGATGCAGTAGGACGCTGCAGATTGAATCTCCAAGGCAGAACAGCAAAACAGTTCTGCTGACCTTAGAATTTAGAGTTAGAAGAGACCATCTGGTCCAAGGGTTCTTAACCTGGGGGTCGTGCATAGAGTTGAGAGATTCCATGAGCTTGGACGGGAGAACAAATTACATCTTTATTTTCACTAACCTCTAACTGGAATTTACCATTTCCTTCAATTATTTAAAAACATGATTCGGAGAAAGAATCCACAGACGTCACCAAATACTGCCAGAGACACCCAGGACACACAGAAAAAGCTTGAGAACTTCACTTTGCAGATGAAGAAACAGAATCAGAGACAGAAAGTGATTTGCCCCAGGCCTCTGGAAATTAAACTCAGATTGTTTGACTCCAACTCCCGTGCTTTCTTCACTCCCCACCACTACCCTCTCCCATTCCTACTGCTCAGAGCAGTTGGTCAGTCAGTCCTTTCTCCCCTAAATTACCTTCCTTGAAGATCTTTAATTATAGAAAAGAAACTCCTCCCACACCCATCCACCCATGTCCTCTCCACTTAGTTCATCTCTGCATCGGGACTATAATCACTGATCTGACTCTGGCCAGCCACAAGGCCAACTACTCATGAGCGTGGACAGACTTCAGGAAATAGTAGAGTATAGAAGGGCCTGGTGTGTTGGGGTCCACAGGGTCACAAAGAGCTGGACATGACTGAACGAATGAACAGCAAGGAACTCTATAGGGCAGAGCAGGGCTGTAACTACCCTGGAGCATGGCAGGGACAGGCTAGGGTCCCATTGAGAGCACTGAGAAGAGGCAGTGGAAAGGGGGAGAAACTGGCCCCCTATAATTTCACCTCTAGGTCTGAAGGTTCCCACAGGATGCCAGGCTTTAGGACACAAAGATGCTATCATGGTTCTCTGGCCCTTGTTTTCTGGCCTCTTTACCCTTGGAAAGGGTTTTTTCTTTTTTTCCCCCGCACAATGTACTCTGAGAGAAACAATTAGCCCTCCAGGGGTTTACAATCCATTTTGAAAAGAAAGATGCAGGCAGTGGACCCCAGCCAGCAGACCAGGTATAGTGAATTTTATTTTCTATAAACTCTGGGAGAGAAATGTACATTCATAGGATTGTAGAATTCAGAGTTGGAAAGGATTGTAAAGAACATTGTAGCCCAGGGGTTCTTTTGTGTGTCTGAACCCCTCTGGCAGGCAGTCTGGTGAAGCTTATGGAGCCTTTCTCAGAATCATGGTTTTAAATGCATAAAATACACAGGATTATCAAGGGAACCAGTTATGTTAAAATACAGTTACCAAGCTCAAAGACCTTATTAAGATTCCCTATTCTAACCCAACCTCTCATTCGGCAAATGAAGCAAAACCTTTCCTTCCCTTGCCCAAGGGCTGCAGATGGCTCCACGCATCTTGTGAACCCCCTGAAGGCTTCCTCAGCACTGGAAGGGTCACCAGACACTCCTTAATCTTCCCCCTTCCCCTCCAAAATAATCCAACCAATGACCCCTGGTTTACGATGTCTGCCCCTTAAGCTCCCCCTTATCTTCCTTGATTACAGAAGAGAAAGTAAGGGAGATTGGTTCAAGGTTGGCTGTTTTTCTCTCTCCCTTCATTCGACAGTTGTTAATTGCCTGTTAAGTACCGCTGCCAGTGCTGGGAGCTAGAGGTACCACCTGGGCCCGGCCAGGATTCGGTCCGAGGGCCTACCAAACATATTGCCGGTTTCTTAATACTGTCTGTGCCTAGAATTGAAATAACAGACGCGCCCCACCCCCTGCCCCATGAAGCCTACGCCCAAGGACTTGTTCCCCAGCTCCTGTTCCCAAAGCCTGAGGTCCTGTGGGAAACATGGACATCCAGAATGATGCGAAATCACATGGGGCCAGTTTTCCCCTCATCTGCCTCTTCTCAGGGCCCCCTAAAATCCACAGTCCTAGTATTGTACCCTTCTATTTAAACCTCCCCTCCTCCGCTCTCTACCAGCCTCCGCGCTGGAGCACCGGGGAACAGCTGAAGAGTAAGGTATGTACTGAATTTGGGGGCTGGGGTGCCTACCAGTGTGCTGCCACAGAGCGCAGGCAGGCTCTGGTCTCTCTGTACCTGCCCACCTCTACTTCGCGGCGGGATGAGTATTGGGACAGGGGAGAAGTGGAAGAAGGGGTTAGGGTGAACGTTCTCTCTCTCGCCTTTAGGAAGGGCCCCACCCTCACTGCAGCCTGCCCCTCCCCCTCCCCTGGCCTCTAGATGTTCCTCCTTCCTGGCCCAGTCCCGCCCCGCAGAGCTAAATCGGGAGCGCAATTGTGGCTGGAATGCGGCGGCTGCGGGTGCCCTTGATCTCTGTCTGCCCCTGCGGCCAGGCCAGCAATGGAGGAGGCCCCTGGGGCGCTGTGCGGGCTCCCCTACCCGGGGCTCCTCGCCCTCCCTTATGGAGGAATCCCAGACCACTGGGGGAGGTAGAAGGTCTGGAGAAGTCCGTTCCTCAGTTTCCCTTTCTGATCAAGGAAAAAGTTGCACTAGTTGGAAGCAGGAGGGGCGCCCTGCTTTCCCCACAGGGGCCCTTGGACAGGTCAAGGTTTGCGGAGGCAGCTAAGGTTTGGACTAAGAGGGAAGGGAGAGGTGCCCGGCCCCGCCCCTCCCTGCCCTGTCCCTCCCCGCTCTGGAGCCCCGGCTCCGCCCTCTCAGGTTGATGGCAGCGGCAGCTGACACTGCACCGAAGGAGCCCTGCCTGGCTGGGGAGAGAGCGAGGGGGCGCCGGAGCCTGGACCCCTCTAAGCCCGTGCCGGAGGTGAGCCTCCGCCAGAGTACCAACGCCCGGACGCCTTGAGCCTTGAGCCCGCTGCTGCGGTCAAATTCCGTCTGCAGAAGAGCCGCGGCAGAGAGGGGACCCCCCAACACCCCGACCTCCCGGCCCGGCCCTGCTGCCGGCTCTGCACCAGGTACCGCAGCCCCGCTCCCCGTCACTACGGGGAACCAGGACCGGGGACGTCATCTGTGCCACCCCCCGCAATATTCCTTAGCCCCCAGAACCCCCTCCCCCACCCCCATCGGCCCACTAGGGTGGGTCACAGGACCGACCGGGGTGGAACAGAGGGGAGCCCGTGGCTATATTAGGACCGTGGCCCAGGCCCTGGGCCCACAGGACCCCACCCCACCCTTGCCCGTACCAGGAGCCAGGGCAGGTGGGGGACAGGCCAGCCGGTCGGGAGCTGAGTAACTCCAGAGCAGGGAGTTCCCACATGGGCCATCCGTGCATGTCCCTGGAGGGAATGGCAAATAGGTGGGTGGCCTCTTTTTCTTGCTCCTCCTCTGTTAAATCTGGGTTGGGGGGAGACTCAGGGTCCCTAAAGCCAAGGACCACTGCCCCCCCCTCTTCCTTTATCAGTAGCCTGGAGGTACCTACCTAATGAAAGAGATGGAGTTAAGTGGGGCCTGAGGCTCAGAGGGTAGACAGCTTGTGTGACAAGTGCAGAGGGACTGGACCCAAGAAAGGTGGCAGCAGGGGACAGCAGAGACAACTCTGGCTCTAGAGTCAAAGATCCTGAGATGGAAATCCACGTCTGTTGCCTACCTTAATACCTTATGTAACCTTGGGCAAGTCACTCCCCATCCTTGGGCCTCAGTTTCCTCAAATGTAGAAGGAAGGGGTTGATCAAGATGATTCCTATGAGCCTACGAAAGAGTAGGATTGGGAGTTGGGAGCCACAGGGAGAGATTTTTCCCCCGAAGGAGGTTTTGGGACTTTGGAAAGAGCCAAGGGGAGGAATGAAGGGGAAGAAAGATAGATGAGGTTCATAAAAGAAGCGCAGACAGTCATAGGCTCATAGAACTAAAACTGCACAGGACCTCAGAGCCCATCCAGGTCAACCCTCTCATTTTACAGTTGAAGAAACTGAGGTGCAGACAAGTTAAGTGACTTGCCCAAGGTCACACCACTAGTAAGTGGCTTTTAAGAGTTGATATTTTTCGTGTGAGAAAAAGAAGAGTTTGGAAGGTTAGGAAGATATAGGAATATGGAGCGGTACAGAAAAAAGAAGACTGACTCCCGATTCAGATCTTTGTGACCTTGGGTAAGTCACTTATCCCTTATCTGGGCCTTATAATCCTCATCTGTAAAATGAAAGGATTGGACTGGCTAGGCCTCTCCTTCAGCTATTCACACCGTGCTGCAGGAGAGTCCTAATTCCTAATCTGCACCCAGTCACTATTTCCTTGAGAGAACTAGGCAAAACAGGAAGGATTTAGGATAGATATCAGAAATAACCTTCTGTCCTGTAGGAAAAGGATAGGCCACTATCTTCCAGGACTAGGCTGATGACCTGAGAGAAGCCAGATCCTTGGGGGGGATGGGCAACCCCAAGCTCGAGCCCTGAGCCAAGCGCTGGAAAGGGGAGCTGGTGCCTCTTCCCTCCTCAGGCCAGCTGAATGTATGGCCTTCCATGTCCAACCTCCCTCGGACCTGGGAGAGAAAGATGGAGTGGGAGGGAAGGAAGTCTCCACACATGCACACGCACCCCTTTCCAGGGAATTCCCAATGCTTTCCCCTTCATATAGTTGATGAGCTTCCCGAATATATCACTGAGGGGAAACTGAGGCAGGGGGAAAGAGCCCTCTAGTAATGGGACTGGAACCCAGACACCCTTCCTCCCACTCACAAAGGCCCCAGTTTGGATTAGTGGCTGGCTCTGTGGGATGCAGTTCCTCTTTAAGCTCTGAGATCCTTTCCTGCATTGAAGCTATGATGCTTAGCCCCTGGCCACATACCCTTCTCCTCACAGAGCGTCAGGTCCTAGCCACCCTCCTTGTGCCCACCTCAGTCCTTCTGTTCTATTTTCCTGCCTTTTCAGCACTTCCTGTTACAATGTTGCCTTCTACTCACTCCCCCAGACCCACTACAGATCCACCCAGCAACGGGAGGGTAGAGGAAGTGGGAAGAGCCTACTGCGGGGGGGGGGGGGGGGGGGGGGGGCGGAGACCTCGCCAGGCACTAAGGCCCACCCCCCATCTTCTCTCCCAAGCCCACCTCCTCCACCCGTCTCAGCCATGAGCCGGAGAGTCGTCCGGCAAAGCAAGTTCCGGCACGTGTTTGGCCAGGCCGGGAAAGCCGAGCAGACCTACGAGGACATCCGAGTGTCCAAGGTCACATGGGACAGCTCCTTCTGCGCTGTCAACCCCAAATTTCTGGCCATCATCGTAGAGGCTGGAGGGGGCGGAGCCTTCATCGTGCTGCCCTTGGCTAAGGTGAGGGGGTCCAAGTTGGCCGGAACGGGAGGGGAATCGGACCGGGGAAAGATTGAGAAGACCAAAGATGAGGAGATGCTCTGGGACCAGGATATCTCCGTTTGGATCGGACCAGACTACTAGCGACTGCTTTGTCCTCTAGAACCTTCCCCTCCCCCACACCCCAAAGAGAAAGGATGTGGTAGGAGCACTCCATTTAAGAGTTAGGAGACCAGAGTCCGAATCCCAGCTCTGCCACTGCCTATGTGACAATAAGGAGCGATCCCAGTGCCAGGAGAGAGACTGGATTTCATTGGTGTTAGGAACTCCTAGAAAAAGAAACTCCCTTTCCCACCAAAGATTGGTACCTGCTCATGCCCTGGGCATGGAGGCTATGTGACTTGTCCAGGGTCACACAGCCAGTGTACCAGCAGAGGCAGGTGCTGAAGCCTGTGTTTTCTTGGCTCCAGGACTGGCTCTACCCAGTGCCCTGGCTCTAGAACGTATAACTATGTTCAATTGGATAACTTGGCTGGTTCCCTGTTCTGCCTAAGTTACCTCGATGCCCTCCTCACCTGGTGGCAGGTCCATACTAGAACACAACCTTCCTCCTCCTCCTCCTTCATCCCTCAGACTCCCAGAGGGAATAAGAAACATTCCTCTTGGTGGCATTAATTTCAAGGGAATGGACTTGATGCCAATCAAAATCCGACTCTTTGGGTAACTCTGACATCCCACCCATCCTGGGATCTCAGGGGCTGGAGGGAACACTCCTATTAACATGGAATATAGAGGTGTTAAGCACTCCTTCACATCTCTGGGAGTCAGAGACTTAGGAAGCTTTCCCCCTCACTGCAAGAATCACTCTCCCTCAGGCAGCTCTGGGAAGTAGGGAGAAGGCAGTCTGTTCTTGAGATGATCTGTCTCTCATCTTCCTCTTCTCCCTGAGGGATTCAACGGAAAGAGGCAGGACCATGGACATACTGGACTATGGGACCAGTGGAGGGCCTTGATGGGGAGTTTCCTTTTCCCAGCTGAAGTTGTGCTATGAAGTAGAACCCAGAGCAACCGCTAAGGCTAGGGAACCTGTTTTTCAGGGTACCAGTGGAGACCTAAGGCTGTGCATATCACCCAGCATACACAAGGGAATTGTCATCCTGGGGGTGCGGGGTGGAGGGGAAAGGTACAGAAATACCTCTGGTTCCTTCATGGTCAGAGTGTGAGAAGGCAGCCCCTAATAATGACCAGGACTGGAATCCCAAATCCCTCCCCACTTGCCAGGGCAAGGCCCTAAACCCAAACCATAGCATCTCAGTGCCCTAGGGGTAAGTGGTAGGCTCTCTCTGCTCAGAGAAAGCCCTCATCACTTTTTCCTTTGTGTGAGAGGAAAGTCACTTCTGTGACTCAGGATTCTACTTTCTCCGAGTAGCCCCTGGGCCTTGGGGAATGGCTGTGTCCAGTTCTAGCCCCCCACCCCCTCCCTGCTATGTTGAGATTCAGCTCCCCAAGGGCATGCCCTTGACCGGGATTCCAGCCCCGTCAACTTGGGGGGAGAATGGAGAGGAGGAGTGCAGTTGTTGAGGGGAGGTGGAGAAGGGGAAGATGCAAAGACCTTACAATAACCAGTGACTCACATGTGGACAATGGAGTCAATGGCACCCACGGCCAGAGCTCAGGTTTCCACCGGGCAATTCACAGTATGTCCCTTGTCCCTTCTCCCCCTCCTCTCCCCCTACCCCCCACCAATGTACTGCCCAGGCAAGACAGCTGCCTCTCTCTGCTCCTCCCTGGCGCCCACAGGGCACCTGTGACCTCCCCTTCCTCCCCCTTGGCTGAGTCACAGCCAGGGATGAGTACTGCGCTCTTAGTACTGGGGCCAGGCATGGGACCCCTACACAAACGCTTGTGTTTTGTAAGTGATATAACTGGTGAACAGTGGGTAAGGTCCCTTCAAGCCCCAAATTCTATGATCCTTTTAAGGGGCTTCTAGAGCCTGACCACTTCTTATCAATGGAGCTCCAGACCCCTTCCCACTCCCTCCAGATCACCTAGACTTTGGGTCTTGGATGTTCCAGAAAGAGACACGAGTTCTACCCCTGGCTGACATTAATTAGATGGCACAGTGGATAGAAAGCTTGACTTGGAGTCAGAAAGACAGTCCAAATCCTACCTACATTAGCTATATAACCCCAACCTGTCTCAGCCTTAGTTTCCTCATTCATAAAATAGGTCTAATAATAATACCTACAACCCGGGATTGTTTTGAGAAACAAATGATAAAGCATTTTGAAACCCTTCAGTGCTACATAAATGCTATTATCAATTAGCTATGTGACTCCAGGCAAGACAACTCAGGATCCTTCTTCTGCTCTATAAAATGAATTAGACAAGATGATACTTAAAGGTCCCTCACAGCTCTAACCTTCTGTCTGACTATGATTTCTTTTTTTTTTTCCTGTGATGGAAAGGGTCCCTCACCCCAAACCAGGATGGGACTCCTGAGGGAGGGAGGTGAAGCACAGAAAGGGAGCTAGGGAAAACTGAGGAAGGGAAGCTGTGTGATCTGAAAGTCTCATTTCTGAAAGTGAGATGGAGGAAGGTGGGATCCTGTGGAGTCCTTGGAGTCAGTCCCCTAAAGGAGCAAGGGGAGAAGAAGAATTGAAATAGATATTGTCTCACCCTATTAATCAATCAGCAAGCATTTGTTAAGTGACTATTCTACTCCAGGTACTGTGTGCTAAGTGCTGGGGGTATAGAGACAGACATAAAACAGCCCCTGCTCTCAAGAGACTTACATTCTAAAGGTGGAGCCAATCTATGCATTTTTAAGTAGACAGAGAATTATACAAAATTAATGCGAGTTTTGTTAGAGAGGGAAGGAGGGCCCTAGTCTCGGGGGCATCAGGAAAGTCTTTCTCAAGAAGGTGGCAGTTGAGCAGTCCCGAAGTGGGGACTTCTGGAGGAAGGGCAGGAGGCGGGCATGGAACATCTCCCACTTGGTTCTTTGGTCTCCACAGACAGGACGCGTGGACAAGAACCACCCAACAGTCAATGGACACACAGCGCCCGTGCTGGACATAGACTGGTGTCCCCACAATGACAGCGTGATTGCTAGTGCCTCTGAGGACACCACTATCATGGTAGGGGTGGGGGCGAGTGCCTCAATCTCATGGGAGCACGGGGTGGGACAGAGGGGGGTGGGACATCTTAGGCAGGGGAGGTAAGCGAGGTGCTGGGTCCAGGAGCCCCCAACAAGGCTCAGGAGCTATTTTGAGCCTTGTTACCTTGGGTCGGGGCTGGAGCTCTCTTCCTCCCAGAGTGCACCAGTCAGCACTAATTATATCTACAGCCGTGGGAGTGGGGGTGGGGAAGGATGTGCAAGGGGGAGACGGAGCTCCGGGTAACTGGAGCCAAGCGGAAGAGTTGGGAGGGAGGTGACTCAGGGGGAGGCACCTGCCTCCACCGGGAGCCAAACCGTTCTCCCCCCACTCCTGGCTGGCACTGAAGTTCCCTTACCCAGAATTCTGTCCATCACCTCCTGGGCCAGGAGTCAAAAGGGACAGAGAGAACCAGGAGGTAAACAGCCCCAAGGAGCCGTGAATTGTCGAGAGAAGGGTCTGTCCTTCTGTCCTGTCTTTTCTTTGTCACATCCCTCCTAGAGGTAGTGGGGTGCAGCAGAAAGAGATGGGGGAGGGGGATAAAGTCATTGGAGTTGGGCTCAAATCCCAGCAGCCTGGCACCACAGAGGAAAAGGGAAATTCAAATCCTGCCTCAGACACCAGCTTGACTCAGAGTCAATGTCTTCATCTGCAAAATGGGCTAACAAATGGTACCTGCCTCCCAAGGATGTTGTGAGGAACACATGTGTTAATGTGTATAAAGTCCTTGACCCCCAAAGAGCTGCATAAATTATTCGACTTTAGTAACATAGAATTTGTTTGGTTATTAAGTAGTTATTACATGTGTGACTTGGGACATGAGGGGAATGGAGTTACAGGGTATCTTCCAGCTCTCAATCCTCTGATCCTTTGGTCCCCGCCTGCTACCCTCCTGTGTCTAGAGTCTCTTGGGGTGCTCACATTCTCTCTTCTCTTACCAGGTATGGCAGATCCCAGACTACACCCCCGTCCGGAACATCACAGAGCCCATTGTCACGCTGGAAGGCCACTCCAAACGTGTGGGCATCCTCTCCTGGCACCCCACAGCCCGGAACGTACTGCTCAGTGCAGGTATGATCCCGTGGGAGCAACAGCCCGTGTTCTGCTGCCCCTGCCCAGGCTCAGCTCTCCAAAGGTGTACGGGGATCACTACCTGTACCAGGTAGGGCTCAAGGAGGTGGGGAGGAGAGAGCCCCGGATCTTTGTGCCCCAGACATCTGGGAGAAGGAAAGCCAACTAGTCATCTCCCTCTGACTCTAGTACCTACTAATCCTGATGCCCCCACTGCCCCGGTGGGTTCCCTCCCCTGTCCCCACATCACCCCCCCCAGCCTTGTGTTGGTGACAGCTGTGGCTCCTCTTGGACAGGAGGGGACAATGTTATCATCATCTGGAATGTGGGAACAGGGGAGATGTTGTTAAGCCTGGATGACATGCACCCCGACGTCATCCACAGCGTCTGCTGGAATGCCAACGGGAGCCTGCTCAGTACCACCTGCAAAGACAAGACGCTAAGAGTCATCGACCCCCGAAAGGGCCAGGTGGTGGCGGTGAGTGAGACAATGCCCTTCCTCTAGGACCCTCTGACCCCCGCCCACCCAGTTCCCTGAACCCCAACCTTCTCACCCACCTCCCCAGGTCACTGAGCCCCTGAGACCCAGTACCTCCTAGCCCCATGATCCCTTGCACATGATGCCCTGACCTCTAGTCCTCTATACCCCCAGTACCCTGACACCCAGGCCTCTTCTCCTATAGCATCCAGCTCCCCAGCCTCTGACTCCCCCAGAAGCCTAGCCTGCAGAGTCTGACCCCCAACCTTCTCTAACACTCAGCTCCCAGTCCTCTGACCTCTTCAGCACCCCCAGATATCTAACAACCCCAGTCATTTGTGCCCCCTGCCCCCGACTCTTTTGTCACCCCAGCTCTGATCTCTGACCCTCAGTCTTCTCTAACAGTCAGTCCCAAGGCTTCTGGTGCCCCCAGCACTCAGCATTCTGACCCCTAGCACCTTGGCACCGAGCCCTCTGACTCCCCTCAGATTCAGCTCCCTGACTCACCAGTCCTCCTCCAGCACATGACCTTCCTTCCTCTAGCACCCAGCAACTCATTCTCCCTCCCCTTAAGCTTTTGACCCATCCCAGCCCTCTGTTCCACTGGCACTCAGCCCCCTAACTCTCAGCTCTCTGACTCACATGATGCCTAACCTCTGATCTCTAGTTTGCCACCCTGACTTCTCATTCCTCTGACCCTCTCAGCCTTCTATTTCCCTAGACCCCAATCGCTCCATCCAGCTGACGCTGCAATCATCTTACTGCCCCTGACACCTAGCTCCCACTCCTACCCATACCCATGCCTGTATATGAGGAAGATCTTTGGACCTGGAGTCCAAAAGACCTGGGTACCCCAATCCTGGCCCCATACCCCACTGATTGTGTTCCTTTAAACAATCACCATTCTGAGCCCTTCCTTCTTCAACTGCAAAGTGAGGATGATGACTGTGCTCCCACACCCTGCACAGCAGGGCAGCTGTGAAAATCAGATGAGACCTTGAAACATTCCATAAGCGTCAGGAGTTTCTGGCACCTGCCTGCACTAGTCCCCAGCCCCGTGACTCCCTGATACTCTCATCCTGTGACCCCCTTAGCACCCGCCTAAAGACCCTCCTTGTGCCCAATCCGTATGCCCCCTGGCACCGAGCCTCCTGACTTTCTCTCTCCCTGAGACCCCTAAAACCCAACCTGCCCATGACTCTAACACTTAGCCCCTGAATCTCCAGCAGTCTGCCCTCCCAACCTTGTACCCAATCTTCTGACCAACAGTTCTCTGGCCCCTCTGGTACCCGGGCCCCTGACCCTCCAGCCCTCTAATGTCCTTAGGAGCTAGATCCTAAGCCTTCTGTTTCCTTAGCAGTCAAACCCTGGCCCTCTGAGCTACCTGGCATTGAAACCCTGACCCCCAGGTCTCTGCTGGCCCACTTGGCACCCAGCCCTTGACCCCTGGTTCTATCTCAGCTCCTCTCCCTTTCCCTTCCTCTGCTCCCTACCCTAATAGGGGATTCTAGGTTAGACGCTGGGACAAGAGAAGCAAGAAGGGAGGTCGGGAGTGGGAATAGGAAGCTTCATCCTACCAGCGGCATCCAATTGAGGCCAGCAGCCCAGGAGAGCCCTCCTCTCTGACCTGACAACCTCCCAGCCTCTCCAAGGGGCGGGAAAGGGCTATCGAAGCATGCTCAGAGCTCTGCACTGGTAAGGGGGGTGCAGAAGGGGCTTGGCTCCTGTGACAGCTACTCCCTTCTTGGCTCCAGCACCCCCCAAACCTGGTCCCCATCAGCCTTAGTAATCAAGGCTGTTGCTTTGAGGCTCCATCCCTCCTGCCCCAGGCCTTTGGGGGTGAGATAATTAGGGACAGAGCAGCTAGCTTGACCTAGAGTCAGGAGAGACCTGGGTTCAAATCTTGCCTTTGTATAATTCTGGGCTAGTCACTTAACTGCTCTGAGACTCAGTTTCCTCATCTATAAAGTGGGGGCGATAATATATGCAGTCCCTGCCTCAAAAGGTTGTTGTGAGGCTCAAATGAGGTAATGTATGTGAAGGGCTTAGCACGCCTTGTAAAGTACTGTGTAAACACTTATTAATTAATTCCTGCCCCAGCTCCCAGCCTGCTTTTGACTCCTGAGAGGTGCCTGGGTCACTGGCCTCATGCATTAATCCTTACCATCAGTGTGCATATGTGTTTGTCCATGCACACATGTGTGGCATGGCACGTGTTATGTTTTGGTGAGACATGTCTTCATGCTTCCTCATATGTGTTGTGTCCATACCTAGGGGTCCTCAGGCTTATGTGCCTGGCCATGTGTGTGTGTGTGTGTGTGTGTGTGTGTGTGTGTGTGTCTGGGGCAGATGTGGATACTGGGGGGTGAGAGGGAGGCTGGAAAGGCGGGCTGCTCTAACCCCCTAACCCTGCGAGCAGGAGCGAGCCCGGCCTCACGAGGGTGCCCGTCCGATGCGGGCCATCTTCACCGCCAACGGGAAGCTGCTTAGCACCGGCTTCAGCAGGATGAGTGAACGGCAGCTTGCACTGTGGGACCTGGTAGGATAAGGAGGAGAGGTTTGCTATCTCTGGCCCCCGGAACCATGCTAGGCCACCCTGGCTTCAGGGGGAACCCGGGGGACCATGCTGGGAGATAGCAGGGCAGAAAGGACAGTGCCAAGGCAGAGGGAGCCCCAGGGCATGAGGGAAGTGTCTTTTGCCACCCCATGCCCTCAGATGAGCAGGAGGGGCATTGGACCAAAAGGCCCCCCTCTGGATCGGGAGCATCCTGAGTGATCTCCTGGCAGAGGGACACAGAGTCTGCTGGAATTAGGAGCTGCTGCCCCAGACCCTCTTCCCCACCCCTCGTCCTTCCAAGGCCTCAGGGTCCTCCCTCCCCTCCAGGGTGGTAAGCTGGATAACACTGTGCTCCTGTCTCCTTCCCCCTTCCCTGCTCCCACCCCCATTTTGCTGCCCTCCCCCAGGAAAGGTTTGCTGCCCATGAAGGGATGAGGCCCATGCGGGCCGTCTTCACACGCCAAGGTCACATCTTCACCACGGGATTTACCCGCATGAGCCAGCGTGAGCTGGGCCTGTGGGACCCGGTAACGCAGCTGGTGGCATGGGGTGTGTGCCCCAGGGACTGGGCATCTTGGTTGGGCAGGCACACCTCCCCCTCCTGGGGCTCTGGGGGCCCCAGATACACACACTTAGATCCTTGCTGGATTCAGAGTCGAAGGATCTGACTCTGCCACTCAGTGGTCTCTGAAGTCATAAAACAAGGATCCTTTAAGTCACTTAACCTCTCTGGGCCTCAATTTCCCCTCTGTAAAACGAGAGAATTGAAGCAGATGGCCTCTGAGCTCTCCAGCTCGACCTCTGTCTGGCTCTGGCTCAGCCTGGCCCTGCCTTCGCGTCCTCTTTGCCTTCACCCTAAGGGAGGGGATGTTGGGAGCTGCCACCCTCTTGACTCCCCCCTGCCCCTGACCTCAGCCCCCAGGTCCTCTGAGGGCTCTGTGTAGCTCAGCCCTCGCCAGGCTCTACCTGCCTGGTGATGCCAAGTCCCCAGGGGATGGCGTGATGCTGTCTGCATGGAGTGGTGGGGGAGTGGTGGGGGGTGCCATGCTGAGAGTTGGTGGGAGATGGAGGGCAGTGAGGGGAATAGCCCTGCACCCTCAGCTCTCCTCTTGGAAGACGGGAGAGCGGACAGAATGGGGGGCTGATGAATCCCAGCTTCACCCTCCTGCGTAAGCTTGGGCAGGGCCTGTCCCTTTCTGGGCCTCAGTTTCCTCTTCTGTAAAATGGAGGCCATCCAGTCGTAGTCAGTCCCTCTCCATCAGCCAGCATGCTCCGGGCGGGCGAGAGCAGGGTTGGGGGTGGAGAGCCGTGTGTTGGTGCTAAGAAGGGCGCTGTGTGCTGACCTCTGGTGGTCATTGGGAGCCTTGCAGCTGAGTTACTCGCCAACTCCCACGGGGAAGGGGTTCGGATGCCAAAGCATGGGCAGGTGGTCCAGGGGGATAGGGCGGGGCTGATCACAACCCCTGTGCTCCACCCAGAACAACTTTGAGGAACCCATGGCGCTCCAGGAGATGGACACCAGCAATGGGGTCCTGCTTCCCTTCTATGACCCCGATTCCAGCATAGTCTATCTGTGTGGCAAGGTGAGCACCTGGTGGGCAAGGAGATGGACACTGGGGGGAGGTGGAAAGAGGACAGGCTGGGCTGTTATGTCATTCATTCCTCAATCAATGAACGAGCATTTATTAAGTGAGCCTGGATATGCAAAGGCAAAAACATCACCGTCCCTGCCCTCAACGAGCTTGCATTCTACTGGGGGGAGGCATGGTGGCGAGGTCACCCACTACCTATCTCTGTGTCTTGGTTTCTTCCTTTGTAAAGTAGGTTAGATTCACTGGACACATGATCCTAGGACCCTGCAACCATACCCTTCCAGGGGTTCCAGTCTTATGAACCAACCCCTCCCCACCCCTGAGTCCCCCAAAGGGGACAAAGCACTTCCCTTCAGACCACTCTCTGGAGCCATAGTGTAGGGGAGAGAATAGGGGATTTGGACCCAAAGGAATCGAGTTTGGGTTCTGACCCTGCTGCTTGCTACAAGTTACCGTACTTCCCTGGGCCTTCATAAAATGAGAGGGTGGGGCCGATGAGGGAGCTCTGAGGTCCCTTTAAGCTCTCGACTTTAAGACCTTACAGACCAGCAGGTAAAGGATGGGAGGGGGACAGCCTGGGATTTCTGGGCATCGAAGTGAGGAGAGTCACACTCCTGGGGAGGGGGGAGCCCAAGCCCTGACCTGAAGTGGGCTTTGCAGGGGGACAGCAGTATCCGGTACTTTGAGATCACCGACGAACCCCCCTTTGTCCACTACCTGAACACCTTCAGCAGCAAGGAGCCGCAGCGAGGCATGGGCTTCATGCCCAAGAGGGGCCTGGATGTCAGCAAGTGTGAAATTGCCAGGTCAGCCCTTCCCTTCCCCCTCCCCACCTGCAGGATGCCCAGCTCGAGACAGCCCCAGTCACACAGACACACACATCATGGTACAATAAAGTCTTGGATGTGAACTCAAAGGCCCTGGGTTCAAATCTTACCTGTGTGACCTTGGACAAGTGATTTAGCCTCCCTGGACCTCAGTTTCCTTCTTTGTAAAATGAAGGGCTGAACCTAGATGCTCTCTGAGGTTCCTTCTAGTTTTAAAGCTATGATCCCATGAGTTCTCTGGACCTTGGATTCTTCTTCTGTAAAAATGAGGGTGAAGTATTGGACTGAGGGTTTTGACTTAGGTCACTCCCCACTCTAAATATGTGGTCCAGTTGGATCAATCAGCAAACACTTATTAAGTGCCTACTCTATTTCGGGCACTGCCCTGGGGGCTGGCAGTATGAAGACACAAACATGAGACAATCCCTGCTCTTGAGGTGTTGAGAGTCTATGGGGAGAGTGATCCTTTCCTGGGGAATGACTTTCTCTCTCCTCTGGGAGGTGGGGGAAGGAGGATGCTCCCCTTCCTGGGCTAACTCTAGCTGAGGCTGAGCTGGAAGAAGGGTAGCTGGGGCGGGGAGGGGAGGGAGAAGGCTTTCTAGAGCCGGTGAGACCTCAGCCTTGCCCATCCTCCAGATTCTACAAGCTGCATGAAAGGAAGTGTGAGCCCGTCATCATGACTGTACCCCGAAAGGTGAGGGATCTCTTGGACTGGGGGGGGGGGATTCAGACCCTTGCCTCTCTGAGCCTCAGTTTCTTCACCTGAAATAAAAATATTCAAGCTGCTTATTTCATAGGATAAATGGGAAGAAAGGTTCTGTAAATGTTTGTGATGTATGATGTAAATATTACCAGAGAGAACTAGCCCTGTCACCGTGGGAGAGCCTCTCAGAGCCTGAGGCAGCTCTCTGACACCAGGCTCTTTGGATTCCTTAAGGGGACTGTGAACTCGAACGGGACCAAAAAGCCTAGATCTTTATTCTCCACTATCATCTCATTGAAATTTACCATTTTCTTTAATTATGGGTTTTAAGGAACCTCTTTTTTAAACCATGATTCTGAGAAAGGGTCCATGGGCTTCAGCAGGCTGCCCAAGGGGTCTGTGACAAAAAAAGGGAAGCATCCCTGATCTAAGACAACATATGGTGCTCTTCTGATTGGGAGTAATAGGGAAAGTGAGTGCTTTGTGGGTGGCTCCTTAGAGACGGCTTAAAGCCCATAAGACCAGGGTCGTAGTCCCACTTCTGATGCAAATGGATGGCTGGTGTGACCCTGCTCAAGGCACTTAACCTCATATCACCCTGGGCACCTCTCAAACACTCATTGTAGAGAAAGTTGGCAACCTGCTTTGGTGGAGAGAGTTCCTCGTTTGGGAGTTCCCTCTGTCACGGAAATCAGATGCCCATCCCCATCCCTATACTGAGTACTATAACTCAGGAGGACATTGCCTAGGGCTGTAGGACACTGAAGAGAGCAGCCCGTGCTATGGAGCAGGAGGTGAAGATTTGTTCAGGGGGAGGGCACTCCACCTTGGCATGGTCAGATTCAGGAGGCTCAACTCCTTCTTCCACATCCCTCCCCCATCCTGTGTAGTCAGACCTGTTCCAGGATGACCTGTACCCTGACACGCCAGGCCCTGAGCCAGCCTTGGAGGCAGATGAATGGCTAGCAGGCCAGGATGCGGACCCTGTGCTGATCTCCCTGCGGGATGGCTATGTGCCCCCCAAGAGCAGAGAACTTCGGGTCACCAAGCGCAACATCCTGGATGTTCGGCCACCCGCTGGCCCGAGACGCAGCCAGTCAGCCAGCGATACCTCCTTCTCGGTGAGCATGGACCCTAACTGCTCCATCCTCTCCTTGAGCTCCCCTTACCCTCAGCCCCTGACTGAGCCTTGGTTTCTCTCTGTATTAAAAAAGAGGGGTTAGCCTAGATATCTCGGGAACTAGCATGGGACAGCAGTAAGAACACTGGTTTTGGTATCAGAGGCCCTGGGTTCAAATCCTGCTTCTGACCTAAATCATGATATTCCTTCATTTAAATCCCACTTCTGACACTTTACCAGACACCTCTATGGCTCTCAGGATCTTCCTCTGCAAAAGGGGTTGGGTTGGGAGCAGGGACCCTTCCAGGTGGAGATCTCAGATCCTAAGAGACACTTGGGGAACTTCCTGCCAGACCTCACCTTCAGTGGTCCCCCATATCACTTCCTTCCTGGACCCTCACCTCAGTGGGGAGCAGAGGCCTTTCTGACACCCCGTATCCTTCTCACCTTCCCTTCAGCAGCAGCAGCAGCAACAGACCCTGGAGGCATTGCTTGAGGAAATTAAGTCCCTCCGGGAGAGGGTTCAGGCTCAGGAAGAGAGAATCACAGCCTTGGAGAACATGCTTTGTGAATTTGTCGAGGACACTGATTAGCCTTGCCCCCCACCCCAGTCCCCATCTCCTGCTCCCACCTCCCTTCCTCTAACCCCAGGATGGGAGGTGAGAGCCTAGGTGGGATTGGGGGGGCCGTGAACTCAATCCAGGGGACTGCACCCCATAGAGCGGAGGCTAAGGAGAGTAGAATGCTTTCCCCAACTTTCAAATGGGGAATGGGGTGTGAATCGTGGCCTTTTCCTTGAGGGGTTCACCTCTGAGAGAGGAATTCAGCCCCTCTCAATGGGACATTCACCCCCAACCTTGTGTGTCCAGAGAGGGAGGGAGTAGGAAGGCAACACTCTATACCCCCTCAGGAGTGGGGTTGAGGGACATTGTTAGCAATCAATCAACAAGTATTTAATAAGCTCTTACTGTGTGTGAAGCAGAAAAGACAAAAATGAAATTATCCCTGTCCTCAAACAGCTTACATTCTTTTGGGGGAGACTTGGGATCTGACCTGAGGACAAAGGAAGGACTGTGGGGGCCAGGAGTGTTGAGAGTGGAATTTTTAGGCAAACTCTGGTGGTAGAGGCAGGGGAGGGGAAACGAGAAGAGATCAGGACACACCTTTGGGGAATGTGGTGGTTAGTGGGGAATGGCCTCTTCTGCCCTCGTTTTTCCTTCCCTTCCCTTTCTCTCCCCAGCCACTACAGGGGTTAGAGGAGGCCTGAGGAGGTAGAGGTTTCACATTAGCTGGGCTCTGAGGTAGGAGCTTGACTCCAACGGCAGTGTGGGAGATCACAGAAAGCAGAGACTTCTACTTCATCACTGAAGGGGTAAGGGGGGCGGGCTTTCTCCCTGGGCTGGGCAAGTGGGAAAAAACCCCACAGGAAAGGACAGAAGCCTGGAGGGACCTTCCAGGCCCCTCACCCATGGCTGGGTGCCATCCCCTCCTCCACCTCAGATCTCACCACCCATCTCCCCAACAGCACGTGGGCTCCTATCCTGGTGTGTGAAGGCTGCCCCCCAACACACACACACCCTCACTTCACACTATTCTAGGTGTGAAGGTATGGCTTGGAATGGAGCGGATTGTCCACATCCTCCCTTGCCCCTGTCTCTCCCTGCCCCCCATCATGGGCTCTGCTCTTTAAAAAGGAAATTGTGGAGGATTGAAAAATTAAATATTTTATTAAATACTCAGCCTGGGTCTAGCGTGTGTGTATATGTCTGTCTGTGGACCAAAATTGAATGAGACAGAGGGTTTGGGCCGGCCTCGGGCTGAAGGTCAGGTGCCTGGCTGAAAAGGATGGAACTTCCATCTCGTGGATCACCGGAGGGGGGGGGGTCAGGGGACCCCTGCTCCTTTGCCCACAGCTGCTGCATCTCCTAGGGAGGGATGCAGAAGAAACTAGGGTGACTGCTTCTCCTCACCAGCCCCTGGTGCCTATGAAATGTTGGGATGCATCCGCGGCTTGCTTTCCTCCTCATCCCACATCTGGGGCATCCGGTCCATTTTAGGGAGGACAAACTGTAAGCACATCAGATAAGTGAGAGCATTTGAAATCATGGGATAGAAGGTCCCCTTGAGAGAACAGACATTTAGCCTAAAGAAGAGGCTTGGAAGAGGAGGAAAGACATTTATCTTTAAATCTTCTCAAGGCTTTCGTTCTGCTGAGCCCTAGAAGGGACCAGCTGGGCAAAGAGAGAGCGAAGCACTTTTTAAATGGCTCAACACAATCAATCCTGTCCCAGGATTCCCAAGGGGAGTGTGGACTCCTCGTGTGCCTGGGTGGCGGCTGGAGAACCAGCTGCTCCACCAGCCGCACCACACCCCGGGTTTATTGCCTCCTTAGGGTAGCTGGGCAGGAGGGCTTCAAAGGTCCCTCCCAGGAACGGCCCCTCTCTCCCTCCCTCCTTGGGGAAGAGGGCCCTGAGTGAGTGAGGCCAGACCTCCAAACAACCCCTGCATGTGTGGGGAGAGTGCCCAGCCTCCTCCCCCACTTCCCCATGGGCTTTCGCAATAAAATCAGTCTCAGTAGGAGAACTGCCGGTTTTAATGCCTTTTTGTTTTGTTTTATTTGTGTCTCTTCTGCTGGAGTGTCCCTGGCCCAGGGTGGGGGAATGACAGGGAGAGGTGGGTGGAACAGGAGGGTTCAATCTTGTTGCTTTTTTGGTGTGTGTGTGTGTGTGTGTGTGTGTGTGTGTGTGTGTGTATTTGGAGTTGTCTGGCTGGGCAGGCCCTTCTCACAGTGTGAGCCAGTCCTTTGGGGATGGGGGTGGGGGGTTGTGTGCATCGGGACCCTTGCCCGGGGGTCTGTGCTTCTTGGGGCTGGGTGGGGAAGGGGAGAGCAGGGAGGAGTTAGCACCATTGGGTGGAAGGTTTCTGTGGTTGCACCCTCAGCAGGGGTGGGGTGGGATAGCAGCAGCTGGTGGGGGTGGGGGCTGGGGAGGGGGCATGTGGTGCCAGGGGGCATCAGGGGAGCTGGGTGTAACCCCCTCACACACCACACCTCCACCACTACCATCTCAACCCCAGATCTCATGACCTGGGCTCTTGGAGACCCTATGCCGAGTATACCCCCTCCACCCATCCTCGGAGACACCAGAGGGCAGCCTGGGCCCTCCCCGGCATTGAGGAGGGGGCACCACATACGGTGGGGGTGACACTTTGCCCTCCTCCCTGCTCTTGTAGCCCATGATGGAGGGGGCAGCGCCAGCCCCCAGGCATGGATTCTAGCGTTGTGCCCCGCCACCTGGGAGAGGTCAGGGCCACCCTGAGAACCAGGAGGGGTGGGGAAGGGAGAGCTGGCTGCAGCGCCCAAGGCGCCCAGGCCCAGCTAAGTGCACTTGACTCAGGGAGGGGTCGAGGGGGGCCAGGCCCCTCCGAGGTGCTGGTTTGTGTTGGGGTGGAGCACACAGGGTGGAGCTGGGCACCCCTCCCCCCCCCCGGGGGTTGGGCCAGATATGGAAAGGGGTCTAAGAACGTTTCCCCAGGGCAGAGTAAGCAGGTAAGGAGTCAGTATTGGGGCAAAGGGGCCAGGGCTCAGACAGCCTCCTGCTCGCCTATCCCTCCACCTATCCTGGATCCGAGCTGCCCCCCTAGTGCTGCTCTGGGAAGGGTACTTGAATCATGAGTGGAAGAGGGACAATGAAAGGCCCACCCTGCCCACCAAGGGAAGGGCTGGGGAGGAGGCCAGGGCACAGCCAGCGAAGAATGAGTCAGAGCCACACGTGCCCGGGGGCCAAAGAGGCTCTCTTGACCCCGCCCCCACAGGTGCGCTCGAGGCCCTTCTGCTCTGGACCTCCTAGGCTTGCCTGGCCATTCCCCCACCCCAGCGCCTCCCCTCGTCCATCCCCCCGCCCATCCCCCGATCCAGTCACCATCTCGGAATTCTGGTCACCCTACTCTGTCCACGGTCCCAACTTCCCAGTGCTTCCCAGCACTACGAGGCTCGGTTCTGGACCCATCCCATTCCCCTTCCTCCCAGTGGCTCAATCTGAGTGTGGGGATGGGGATAGGGGTTGAGGTGGGGGGGATGTCCTTCCCCTCCCCTTCAGTCACGTCCGGGCCCCGCCCTCCACCAAGCCAGTGGGGAGGGCTTGTCCTGGGCTCTGATCCACAGTGGGCATCCCCCAGCCTTAGCACCCTGCGGAGCGGTCCCCATGAGGCTGGAGGCGGAGGTCCCTGCCTGGGGAGTGGGGGGGGGGAGGGGTAGAGGGGGGGCCACGGGGGCTACTGCTCAGTCAGTGACAACTGAAGGATTCTTTTGAATTCTTCCTCCTCTTGGCGCTCCCGCCGTTCAGCCTCCTCCTGTTCCTGGGCCGACAGCTCCATGGCCAGACGAAGCTGCTCATCGTAGCTAGGGAAGACGTGGCCGGGGCCGCCAGGGCTGGGGGCGGAGGCTGGGGGGCCCGGGGGGCCGGGCTGCCGCTGGGGAGTGTGCTGGGGTGCCCTGTGGGGAGAGGAGAATGGTGATACATTCCAACTGACCCTGCCCTTTTCGCTCTTTCCGTGGGGGAGGCCAGAGGAACAGTGACTAAGATCCCATGTGGGTCACTGCTAGGAACTTCACAGGCCCCTTAAGCCAACCCACTCATTTTACAGAGGAGGAAACTGAGGCCCAGGGAGGTTTAGAGGTAAAGCTAGACGGGACCTCACAGACCAGCTAGTCAAACTCCCTGATTTTACACTTGAGGAAACTGAGGCCTGGAGAGAGGAAATAATTTGCCCAAAGTCCGGTAGCTGGGAAGCAGGAGAAGGAGAACGTGAACCCAGGTCCTGGGACTGGAATCTCCATCCAGAACTCTTTCCCTTACACTAAATTGGTTCAGGGACATTCTGACCTTTGCCTAGGCTTGGGGGACTTGTCTGGCCTGCTTCTGAGAGGCTGCCCCAATCTGAAAAGGTATTTCCACCAAAAGCCTTGGGAAGGGGGGCCCTCCACCCCCAGCACCTGGGCTTCAATGGAGCGCAGCCTGCCTAGGGTATGGGGAGGGGGGTGCCCTGGGGCTCTAACCCCTTTGCCCTGCTCACTATGGGCAGGGAATCAGGCACCCTGAAGGGTCTGGGAGAGAAATCCCCAATCCCTCTCCCCTACCTTGGGCCCACCCAGGGCTTTGGCTGGAACCCCAGAACTCCCACTCGGCCCCACCTGGTGCCCTCTGTCCCTCTGTCACTGACCTGTCCGGCCTTCGGCCTTCCTGGGACATGGGGTAGGTGCCAGGCTTGGTATTGGTCAGCGCTTCCCAGATGGTGACCTGGGAGAGGGGGCACCGGGCATGTTAACCTGACCCTGAAGTCACCCACCCCCCCCCCAAAAAAAATCACTACTCCTTTCCCATCCCCAGCATAAGGCCTTCTGGGCTTTTCCCCTGAGGGAAGGGAGTGGGCAAGGATTGGGGAAGGACTGACCCACTCAGTCCCTGGGTCTCGCTGATGGATGGTGTGGCCCCAGAGGGTGCCCTGCCTCCACCCCAGGCCCAGGAAGAGACTGAGCCAGAAGCAGGCACTGCCAGCTGGGCACACCTGGTCATATTCACTGCCTGCCTCTAACAGGCTCTGCTGGATTGCAAACTGCAACAAATCGTCTTCTTCCTCACGGCCTGGCTCCCTCTGGCTGCCCAGGACACTGTACCCCCGGGGCGCCTCGAACAGGGAGGGTGCAATCTCACAGCCTCGGCACGATGCTAGGCGGGGGCAGAACAGGGTGATGGGGAGAGAGAGAGAGAGAGACATGAGTAGAAGAAGGACCAGGATTCACAGGGTGTAGACCTGGGAGGGACCTCAGGGATCATCTAGCCCCACCCCCTCATTTTATAGAAGAAGAAAAAGGCCCAAATGTTAGTCAGGATTTGAACCCAGTTCCAGGCATCAGCCTATTACTCATCTGACTGTACCACTGGGGGAAGCCCCCCTGGTGAGGGGTTCTTTCGGTGGCTCAGCTTCCCTCATATCCAACCCCCCTCAGAACCACACTGGGCATCTCCAAGGCTTTGGGCAGTGAAGACCAAGGATCCTTAAGCTGCTAGGGAGGGGATTGCGGGGTGCAGGTGGGGTCAAGCAGAAGAGGAGAAGGTGTCTCACTCATGGAACTGGAGCTGCTGATGCTGGAGTTGTCACTGCTGGGGGATGGGGCTTCACTGCTGGGGCTGCCTCGGACAGAAGTCACAGGCTCATCACAACCATTGAGGTTCCCAAAGGTGATTCGGGCATTAAGGATGTGGAAGATGGGGATCTCTGGGGAGGAGAGGGAAGGGGGAGGACAGCTGCTGAGAACGGCTTCCCCACCTTCATTCATGGCCCACCTTGATGCAGGCTTCCCCCATCCCCCCATCTGACCAGTGCCGTCCCACAAATCTTGGCCTGACGCTGGGCAGAGAGGCATTCGGTCATTCTTTTAGGGAGCACTTACATTGTACCTACTCTATGCTAAACACTGTGTTTGGTAATGAGGAGGCCAAGGCAAAGATCCAAAGAGCCCCTGCTCTCAAGCAACTTACGTTTTCCTAGGCTTCTGATTCAGCTAGTTCATAAGGTAAGATGGAAGGGACCTTGGAGGTCATGTACAACCTCATTATAGAGAGGCGAAAACTGAGGCACTGAGAGGGGGAGAAAGAGGAAGGAGGAGGAGAAAAGGAGAAGATGAAGAAGAAGAAGAAGAAGAAGAAGAAGAAGAAGAAGAAGAAGAA